TGTGACTCGGACCCCCTGGGACCAGCAGTCCTGCAGATCACTCATAATGGCTAATGGCTTCATTGTGGCAGTCTCGTGTGAAACTAGGCAGCTGGCTGCCCATCAGGAGCTGTGCGGTGAGTGAGTGTGGTTCCCACACAGAACAGAGCAGGACTGGCGGGGAGTGGATCACACTCAAGTGTGTCACCCTGGACGTGCCAGGTGGGCTATGTGATCTGTGATGCGTGTAGAATGCTGTGGAGAGAATGAGCCTGCCTCTGCACAGTCCAGATCGTGCATGTGTGTGAACAGGTGTGAGGAGAATAGTGGAGGTGGTGGGAGATGAGAGGAAACCCCTCCTTTTTCAGCAGTGCTCTGGCGTTCAGAAAACACCTACAGTGCCTTTGTACATGGAAAGAAAACTCGGGAATTAAAAACTTACATAGAATTTTTAAAAAGATTTGATTTGAAAAGTGGAGCAACAGAGAGGAGAGACAGAGACAAGTCTTTCATCCGCTGGGATAAAATATTTTAAGGTCTATTATTTTCCATAGCAGCCTCTGGGTAACGAGTGACCAGTTCGAGAGTGTTTTTCTCTGCGTGGTATTTCTAGTTTCTACCAGAACTAACTTCAGGATGCAGAACGGGGCTGGCGGGGGGGGGGGTTTGCTTTGATGATTCACTGTAACGAGAAAACATTTTCAGTTCTATTTTCTTTAGAATTTTTTTTTTTTTTGACAGGCAGAGTGGACAGTGAGAGAGAGAGACAGAGTGCTGTTGGTTCACCCTCCGATGGCAGGAGCCAGGTGCTTCTCCTGGTCTCCCGTGGGGTGCAGGGCCCAAGCACTTGGGCCATCCTCCACTGTACTCCCTGGCCACAGCAGAGAGCTGGCCTGGAAGAGGGGCAACCGGGACAAAATCCAGCGCCCCGACCGGGACTAGAACCCGGTGTGCCAGTGCTGCTAGGAGATTAGCCTAGTGAGCTGCGGCGCCGGCCTAGAATTCTTAATGTTTAGAACCTGGGGGCTCTATTCCAAAGTATGTCAAGTTCATACTTTTTCCAATGATGCAGCCCCTAAAATTTTGAATTTCTGTTCAGCCAAAATAGAAATGTAAGTTTTGGACTAATCAGAAATTTTCTTGTGTAATATCTGTGGCCATGGGTCTAGTGTTGTGGCATAGCAGGTCCTGTATGAGTACTGATTTGTGTCCCTGCTGCTCCACTTCCAATCCATCTCTCTGGTGATGGGTGCAGGGGCCCAAGAACTGCTGTGGCTTTCCCAGGCCACAGCGAGAGCTGGATCAGAAGTGGAACGGCTCGGACTTCAACCTGTGCCCAGTGGGATGCTGGCGCCACAAATGAGGGCTTTTACCTACTACACCACAGTGCTAGCCCCATAGTTAAGTCTTAAAAAAAAAAAAATCCAAATGCAGACTTCTAAGTTGGATCCTTTTAATGATGCAATAGTCATTCCCAGGATTTATAGAGGCTCTCGATTATTACTGTGGGATCATTGCAAGGTAGAAAGGGATGCTCTTTGTGAAGTTCCTGGGAGGGTGCCTGCTTGCGGACCAGTGTGGCGCTCACCAGGAGCATGGCCCGGAAACAGGCTCCACTCCTCACAGCTCTCTGATCTCGGGCAGCTGTCTCGGCGCCTCAGTTTCCTAATCTGAAACACGGGTGCCTACCACGTGTGACTAAAGTGAGGACTGACTGAGTTGAAGGGAGTCGCACCCTCGAGATGGTGCCTGACAGTCAGTGGTATGCCGTCCTTCGCCTTTCTTACTGCAGCCGAGACAGTGTGAGATGGCCTCATTGTTTCTCACTGAAGTGCCTCATGTGGGGGTGTTGTAGAACCCAGTGCACAACCAGCCAGATGTGGTGGAGGAAAGGGTGTTTGCAAAGCCCAGAGCAGGGAAAACAGGCGGCTTTTGCTCAATTCCCAACTCTCGAGAGCCACAGTGAGGAATCTCGCAGGTGGCAGTCGGGGTTGAGGGGTGTTCAGCTGCTGTGCCAGTTGGTCCAGTGTTCCTGGCCCACCCTTGATTGGTCAGTGATGGGACAGCTAGTGTGTCTGTTTAGGAGTGGGCTCCAGTCAGATGGTAGCTACTTTTTGCTCAATTCCTGGGAGGAAAAATGCTCAAGGCCTAAAATCAAGATATTATGGGACCTAGGCCAATCTGAAGCCAGGATCCAAAAGCGTCTTCCAGGTCTCCCACTCGAGTACAGGGCCCAGGGACCTGGGCATCTTCTCCTGCTTTCCCAGGCCACAGCAGAGAGCTGGATGGGAAGTGGAGCAGACAGGTCTTGACCCGTGCCCATATGGGATGCTGGCCCTGCAGGCGGCGGCTCTACCCGCTGTGCCACAGCGCCAGCCTCCCACCCTCTGGCTGCTGCTTGAGCTGTCGTTTACTGCCTCCCAGGGTGCACTTTACTAGGAAGCTGGAATCAGAAGCTGAGCTTGGACCCAGGAAGTATTTGCAGTTCTTCAGTTTGCGATACTGCTCAGGGGTTAGCATCTGTGGTCTTATTTGCATGTGAGATGTACAGCAAAAGGGTTGCTGTTGGGTAGCTCAGAGATTTCTGATGAGTTTTATCTACTTCTGACCTAAAGGGCCCTCAAGAGATTTCTTTCTTTGGTGTTTATAAATTTTATTTAAAGTTTTTACTTTTTTAAAGAGGAGAATCAATACCCAGTCATTTCTACATAAAGGCAACAGGGAGATAGAAGTGAACCTCTGAGGAATATAAACTTATTGTTTTCAGTGGATTTTTAAAAGGTTTTGTTTATAATAGAGTGATGGAGGGAGGGAGAGCGAGACAAAGGTTGTGGGGAGACATAGAGATCTTCCATCTGCTGGTTACTCCCCAAATAGCTGTAACAGCCAGGGCTGGGCCAGGCTGAAGCCTAGAGCCAGGGACCACATCTGGATCTCCCACATGAGTAGCAAGGGCTTAAGCACTTGGGCCATCCCCCCAGGCACATTAGCAGGAAGCTGGATCAGAGTGAAGGACCTGGGACTGTGGAACCAGCATTCTGATATTGGTTGCCAGTGTCACGAGTAGTGACTCAACCCACTGTGCCCATAACACTGGCCCTGTGAATTGTTTTTCTTAAAGATTTGTTTGTTTATTTGAAAGAGTTACAATGATGGAGAGAGAGAGAGGAGAGAGATCTTCCATCTGCTGGTTCACTCCTTAAATGGCTGCAATGACCAGGGCTGGGCCAGGCCAAAGCCAGGAGCTTTTTTGGGGTCTCTCACATGGTTTCAAGGGCCCAAGCACCTGGCCCATCGTCCATGGCTTTTCCAGATGTGTTAGCAGGGAGCTGGATTGGAAGTAGAGCAGCTGGGACCCGTATGGGATGCTGGCATTGCAGAGGGTGGCCTAACCTGTGAGTTGGATTTTAAACAAGTCCATTTTCATGCTGGGACTCTGAGGAGTGTCAGAGGTGAGACGGTGCCTCTGTGTGGTCATTGTGTTGACTTTCATCTCAGCCCTTTGTTTTCCTCTGTTCCTGTGGACATTTTGCATATTTTACAGCATGAATAGAATTTTGAGGGAAATCTGGAGCATAAGAAATAGTGGATAAATTGTATGTTTAAAAGGATAATTGAGCATAAAAGATCTAAGACATACTTTGGAATGTGAATCTTCAGGTTTTTAGATTATAAAAAAAAAAATCCACTGGCTTTCTCCAGAGGCTGGCTGCCTTTGATTATCTAACCCCCCTCGATTTGTCCATAGAGGTTTTTTGAATCAGCTGCTGCCCTGGGGCTGGGGACACCAAGTTACAATTTTTTTTTTTAACAGAAAGTTACTGAGAGGATGTTTAAAAATCTGTAGATCTTTTTTTTTTTAAAGATTTATTTATTTATTTGAAAGTCAGAGTTGCACAGAGAGAGGAGAGGTGGGGGGGGTGTCTTCCATCCGCTGGTTCACTCCCCAGTGGGCTGCAACGACCGGAGCTGCGCTGATCCAGAGCCAGGAGCTTCCTCCGGGTCTCCCGTGCGGGTGCAGGAGCCCAAGGACTGGGTCATCTTCTGCTGCTGGATCAGAGTGGAGCAGCTGGATCTCGAACCGGCTGCCATATGGGATGCTGGCACTTCAAAGGGTTTCTCTATTTCTGAAATCTGTCTTGAGCTACCGAAGTATTGGTTTTTGGGGTCTAGAATCTGATTTTTTTCTTTCCAGGGTTATTGTTTATTTATTATAATTCCACGAATTATTTATTAATTTATCTACTTAAGGGGAGAGGGACTCTCATCTCCTGCACCTTCCCCAAATATCTGCTTGAGCCATGGGCCGAAAGTGGGAGCCGGAACCCAACCCAGGTTTCCCACGTGGGTGGCAAGGAACGGCCCCCTTGAGGCATCGCTGCCTCCCAGGGTCTGCAGTGGCAGGAAGCCGGAGCCAGGAGCTGGTGGCAAGGAACGGCCCCCTTGAGTCACCGCTGCCTCCCAGGGTCTGCAGTGGCAGGAAGCCGGAGCCAGGAGCTGGTGGCAAGGAACGGCCCCCTTGAGTCACCGCTGCCTCCCAGGGTCTGCAGTGGCAGGAAGCCGGAGCCAGGAGCTGGTGGCAAGGAACGGCCCCCTTGAGTCACCGCTGCCTCCCAGGGTCTGCAGTGGCAGGAAGCCGGAGCCAGGAGCTGGAGCCAGGCGTGGTGCTCTGGTGTGGCACTTGGGCGTCCCAGCCGCCAGATGTCCACCCTTAAGGACAGACTTTCATATATGAGTAGTTGACATTAGCTTTCCTCGGAATACCCGTCAGCCCTTAAAATGCCTGTTGAGATCTCATTGGCTGCTTTTATGTTTACTGTAATTGTTGGAAACAAATGTTCATATTAAATAACTGTCAAGAACATAGTTTTAGAATGAATTTTGTCCAAAGGGACAGAACATTTGTTAGAAAAATCTAACAGCAAACTTGTCTCAAAGCGTGGGAAACCGCTGCGTCTTTCTTGTTGGAATTCATCCTGGACGAAGACCGTGTGTGCTCTAAACAGGTTTCTGTGTTTCAGGCACCGAAGCCCAGAGGGGACCCCTACTCTTTGATGAGCTCCCTCCGGCCAGCAGTACTGACTCAGGTACAGTCTTCAGGCTCTCCCAGGTGTGTGTCAACGTCTCTGCTCCTCCTGGGATTGGAGTTGTCTCAATCTTTCTCCCTTTCCCCCATTTTCAACACACAGATGTTTTAGGTGTTGGACTGTCTTTAAGTTTTGAATCCATGGCGTCAGGTAAGGCAGAAAAATCTGCTAGTCGTTAGCCCTGAGAAGTGCTGCCTGAACTGCTGAGCAGTTTTCTCTGGTTCAGTGGAGGATTTATTTTTCTGGCTGAAGTGAAGTTGACTTTTTAGGGCAGGTTTTCACTCCCTTTGAGGTGCGAGGTTTTAGCATAGGTTCGAGATACTATTCACTGCAGTGCGAGCTGCCACTGGATTGACACGAGTCTCGAGTTGTTCCAGTGCCTTACGTGGGTGTCCTGTGGGCTGGATTCTGACGCTGAGCCCCAGGCTGCGGGCTCACTCAGTGTTCTGCTGTGTTTCAGGGCCAGGGGGACCTTTGCTTTTTGATGGCCTCCCACCTGCTGGCAGTGGCGATCCAGGTAAGAGGCAGGAAGACGCTTCAAGGTGCTGGCTTACTCCTCTGTGAAATCCAGGTATTGGTGTTAACAGGATTGGGGTAGCGTGAAGTCCTAGCACGCTAAGGTTTATTAAAGCTAAATAGGCACCATCAGCTGGAAGCAAACAGGTACTTCCATACTACGTCGCTCCTGGTGATTGTTCAACTTCGGTTGAAACTAAGAATTACGAGTTCAGTAATGGACTCTGACTTGTGTTGTTAACATTTTAAAAAAATCACAGTCTATTACTCTGGTTTACCTTATGTTCCAGGACAGATTAGGTGTATCAAATGCCCTAGCATGGGCTCCACCTGCTCCTGCAAACGTTAAACTTTCCTGTTTGTGTCCCAGTTAAGTGGCAGGGAAGAACAGAACAGTCTTCTGTGTTGTTACAGCAGCTCGTCTTATTTCTGACAGCGTCCCCCCGCTGGGGACAGCTGAGTGTAGGAGGTCCTCTCTCTGGTGTACAACTTTCCTTTTCTGGTCAAAAGAACACCTTTTTCCCAAAGTATTTGTTGTTGCTGTTGTTCAGATTCATTTATTTATTTGGAAGTCGGAGTTACACAGAGAGAGAGAGAGATCTTCTACCTGCTGGTTAACTCCCTAGATGGCCACCATGGCTAGGTCTGGGCCAGGGGAGCTAGGAGCTTCTTCAGGTCTCCCACTTGGGTGGCAGGGACCCAAGCACTTGGGCCATCTTTCGTTGCCCTTCCCAGGGCAGAAAGCTGGATCAAAAGTGGAGCAGTCAAGATCCGAACTGGTGCCCATATGGGATGCTGATGTCACAGGAGGCAGCTTAACCCCCACACCATAATGCTAACCCCTCAAGTTTTTTCTTTAATTCATTACCATAAAATCATTGGAATCAGTCTAGAAAGTATAGATTAAATTGGTACACTTCTTGTATTTTAGAAATAGTATCAGTCATTTTACTTAAGAATCCTCAGGGGCCAGCTCAGTGGTGTAGTGGGCTAAAAAGCCTCTGCCTGCGGTGCCAGCACCCCATATGGGCTCCAGTTCATATCCTGGCTGCTCCTTTTCTGATCCAGCTCTCTGCTGTGGGCTGAGAAAGCAGTGGAAGATGGCTCAAGTGCTGGGCCCCCTACGCCTGCAGGGGAGACCCAGGAGAAGCTCTTGGCTCCCGGCTTTGGGTTGGCTCAGCTCCAGATGTTGCCATTTAGGGAGTGAACCTGCAGGTGGAGATCTTTCTCTCCGTAACTCTACCTTTCAAATAAATAAATAAATCTTTAAAAAAAAAGAAGAATTCTCAAAACTATAGACCTGTAACAAAAACTTACAGTGTTCTGAAACTCAAAGTTTAGCTTGAAATCTTCCCAATAAAGACAGTAATCTTAGGAGGAAGTGTTGTGGGGTAGCTGGTTAAGCCGCTGCTTGGACAACCTCATCTCATAGCGGAGTCGTGCTGCTTAATGTTCTGGCTCCTTTGCTTCCGATCCTGCTTCCTGCTAACGTGCTGGGGTTGTGGGAGACAGCAGATGGTGGCCCAAGTGCTTAGGTCACTGCAACCCACGTGGTAGACCCAGATGGCGCTCCTGGCTCCTGGCTCCACCCTGCCCCACCTGGGTATTGCAGCAGCACATGGAAGACCTCTTTCTTCCCCTCTGTACAGATAAATTAATCTAAAAAAGAGTAAGACTCTTCATTATAGTAACTTAATATGTGCAAACAAAGCCCGTAATCGGTTTAATGAAAGAAACAAAGATTCAGCATAGCTGTCGGTTGCCCCAGGACAACAAAGCCACACACTGTAATGTAGAAGATTGACATCTGCTATTAGCAAGCTTGATTTTGAGGGGTGTATATAGAGAGAGAATCTTGCATTCAATGTTTTGTATTTCTTGAGAGAAATGACACATTTTTAGCAGACAAGAACCATTTATAAAAATTTACTATGTTATAGGCTATGAAATAAGTCCCACTAAAGAACCTGCTTCATTTGCAGCCTGCATTCTTGGCAGTATAATTTGCTTAGAAGTCAGCAGCAAAACTCTTCAGGTTTCTTTTGGGATTCAAAGAAAGGAATGTACCTTCACACACACATGGGCCGCCTGGACCCCAGGCAGCAGCTGAGGGAGAGGCTGTGGAGAGAGTGTTCTGGAAACCTCGTGACGTTTCCCTGCGAATGTGTGTCACATGGCTGCCGCATCTCCCTGAGGGCAAGGCTGACTTGAAATAGATGGCAGGGGGAGCTGCTCTGCGCGTAGGAAGCCCCGGCCCAGACAGGTCGTCTACGAATGCTCTAGCGCCAGGCTCCCCACGAACGTGCATTGCGTGACGGCGAGAGGGCAGCCCCCTTTCTGGCAGCCCCCTTTCTGGCAGCCCCCTTTCTGGCAGCACCCTGTTTCCCAGGACGAGGGGCTCCGCACCAGACCTGGGTCCCGGTGCACGGCGGGGGTGCAGTGCAAGCCAGGGCGAGTGTGTGGTGCAGCCGCCAGCAGGGACGGCAGGGGACTGGCCATCCAAGCAAGGCTGGTTTCTTCCTGGGCACTCAGATATGTGGCAGCCAGCGGGGGCACGGGGAGCTGTTAGACACTTGATGGGGCAGGTACTGGGACACGTTCTTTGCACACAAGGTGTCTCTGAGGGGACGGTGTTCTCACCTGTGTACTGGGGAGGCCCCAGGTGCTGCAGGCCCAGCCTTCGGTCCTTGTCTCGTGGCGCGCACACCGCCGCTGCCTTTGCTCGGCTCCGAGGGCACAGGCACCCCTGCGCGAGGGAACACCTGCCGTGGCCTGGTGGTGTGCAGTTGGGAGCAGTCCTTAAAGCTGACGCCTGCTTTCATGTGTGCCGTTTCTGAACTTCCCCAGGTGTGGCAGTTGTGTCCCCATTTATCAGTAAGGACCTGCGGAGGTACAGTCTCCGTGCGCTACCGGCCAACAACACGTGTGTGTGTTGATCACTGAGAGGCCTCGTTCACAGGCGCTTCCAGAGTCAGTCTGACGGGCTGGATCCCTGCCTGTGTAGCCCCGCCAACCCCATGCTGGGGCCTAGCCCCGACCGTGTCTTTTGCCAGTAACTGCTTGAGATGCCATTCTGTCCGCGAGAGCCGGGAAGGACTTTCCGCCAGTCTGCAGCTGTGTGTCCGTCTGCCTCCATTCCAGGTTCCCTTGCCACTTCCGTATCCCAGTCGGGGAGGAGTGACGGGAAGGGAGCGAAGCGGAAGACCTCCGAGGAAGAGAACGGCAGCGAAGAGCCTGTGGAAAAGAAAGTTTGTAAAGGTTTTCAGACAATTTGAAAACAAATGTACTAGACTCCGCAGCTTAAACGGCCCAGAGCAGACTAAGCCCCGCTTTCCAGTTAGACCCCGTCCTGTCCTGTCTCAGCCTCAGCAGTGGGCAGGCCCCTTGCAGCTTCCCGGGACTGCCTGCGCTTCCTTGTGCATGTCTCTCCGGCCTCTGCTCAGACAGGAGGCCTGCGTCTCCTCGCTCAGGAGATAGGAGTCGTCTTAGCTGTCCTCAGAGAGCCGCTGGGTTCCTGCCCTCGGCCTCTGAGCCGGCCTTGCTCACACCTGCTGGTTAGCGCTGAGTCTGACTCCGCCTCAGGCGGCCTCCTGTGAGAGCTGTGGCTGGGGAAAGCAGTTGAAGTTTGGAGTCAGTTTTGTAACTTTTGAAGATTTGTAAGGGAGAAAAGGGTATCAAGCACAGAGAAACCGTTGTGAATTTTCATGTATTGCACCAGACTGCTTTGTCCCTTGCCACTGCGGACCTCAGCAAGAGGTGCAGGCCGCCCGGGGCTCGCCGTGGCTCGCAGAGATGTGCCCTGAAGCTTGCGTATCGCTCCCCAGGGCACAGCGCTTACAGAGGGCTCCTCGGTGACCCCTGTGGCTCTCAGCGTCAGAAAATGAGAACACAGCGAAAGCGTAAATGGAGTTAGTTCTCTGTGGGCGGTGATCCTCTGTCCTCTCTCTGTTGCGTTAAAGGCAGCCGATGCTATCATTCGTTCCTTCTGCAGCCTCCGGCGTGGAAGTGCTGCTTTTCACAGTGCCCACAGGGGCACGAGCACCGACTCCCCGGGCTTGCACTTGCTCAAGACCTGTTCTGTCCTCGTGAGGTTGTCAGCACTAGATTTGCACGTGGTCCTTTTCTGACTTGAGCTCCTCTCTGGGAGGGGCACACTTCTTGCCCTGGGGCTTTGGCTTGTGCCAAGTCAGAGGGAGCGTTCTGTGTCTCTGGCTTCCCCCTTGTGTGGCCCCTGGGTCCAGCCTCAGAGAGTCTGGCCTGTCCAACAGCACTCAGCTTTAATGAAAGACTTGCACCTCAGACACTGCCGAGTGACTCAGCCGTAGCTCCCTCTCACTTGCTCTGGGACTAGGACTCCCGGAGGGCCGGGCACAGTTTTGTATTGTTTTTTTTTTTGGTGGTTGTTCTGTTTCCTTAGCCTCGTCGGTGATCTTCGGTCTGAAGGGCTATGTGGCCGAGCGGAAGGGTGAGAGGGAGGAGATGCAGGACGCCCACGTCATCCTGAACGACATCACCGAGGAGTGCAGGCCTCCGTCATCCCTCATGTGAGTGCACATGCTCCAGCAAGCCTGCGCGGCGTCCGCTCCCCCTCCCCGCTCCCTGCCCCCCCGCCCCCCGCTCCCCAGCAAGCCTGCGCGGCGTCCGCTCCCCGCCCCCCTGCCCCCCGCCCCCCAGCAAGCCTGCGCGGAGTCCGCTCCCCGCTCCCCGCTCCCCGCTCCCCGCTCCTCTGTTCCGAGTGCTGTTTTGGACTATGTAGTCGTGTTTAAACAACGACGGACATCACTTGGCGTTGCTCGGTTCTGCGTCAGTGGTTCCTGGCTGGGGTTGACTGTGTCCCTGAGAGGCATTTTATCCGTGTCTGGGGAACATTTCTGTTGTCACAGTTAGGGGAGGAGGCTGCTACTGGCATCTGATTGCAGCCTTCAAGCCCAGGACAGCTCCGCCACAGCTGTCAGCAGTGGCTGCAGTTAGGAATCCTGCTGAACGGGGAGTGACCACAGCACGAGTCCTCAGTGTGTGTCCCTCCTTGCCTCACAGAGCAGCTCTGGCGGGACTGGTCTCCTGCGACCTGGAAAGTAGGATTAGAAGCCACCAGTTCAAGTCTGGCAGTCACTGGAGCTAGTACCGATAGTCAGGACACAGAAAGAGCCAAAAAGCAGAAATGTGCCGGGAAGAGGGACGGTGAGATGCTTCCATCAGCCGTGCTGCCCGAAGCCTCTGGGTGGGCTCCTAGGCGTGGAGAAGTCAGTCGTTAAGTTGGCTGTTCACACACTTGGTTCTTATATCATACATACCGTGACTATGTGATACTCACTACCTACTATGTATCACTGTAAGTTAGACCCGTCGGCCCCTGCACAGTGCACTGGTGCTGTTTGTGCTGATGGCTTTTGTCCAGTAGATGCGGCCTGATTGTGATGCTGCAAAGGCGTGGCTGCCACAGACTGTGCACACGCCTGCGTCTGCGAGGCTACCGCTGTGCCTAGGAACTGCCGTACAGCGGGAGAGGGCCCCTGGGACCTGGGGGTGCAGATCCCCTGGGGTGCATGTAGCTGAGAGCGCATGTCATATCTACATAACACTGCACCACACCTAGCAGTGCCAGTGCACTTCGGAAAGTGAGAGTTTATTTTGGGGCCAATAATTCTTTTTTTCATAATACATGAAGAATTGGGAAAATTCTAATGGTTTCAGTTTTTGGAGGGGACACCCAAGTAAACCCATACATTTAGTTCCATTTTTTTCTGCCATCTTTGTGAAGTTCGTTGTACTAAGCTGAAAGTAACAGTTATTGGTTATAAACTGCACAGTGTATTCCCTCATGGCTCACGATGGCCCCAAATTGCAAAGCAGAATCAGAAAGTTTGGGAGAAGACAATATAGAATAAATGTCACTTCTCATTGGCACTTTTGTTCTTTTTTTCTTGAAACTGACGCCTTTCGTTCCATATATGTGGGTTTTGGCGAAACTTGCAAGGGGAACAGTAATAGGACTGGTAAGATAGGCTTTCAGAAACAGCTATTAGTCCCAAGTTTATTTGAATAATAATTTTGGCATCTCCCCCTGTTCTTATATTATTTACTGTCTTGGGTTAATAGCTGTTTATTTGTTTAAATATTAAATGTTTAAACTAAATCTTACTTAAAATAGGGAAAAGTTCTGTATGTCAACTTCATTGTCAGTAAAATGCAAGTTAGCAGCTTGTATTTTGAAATCTGGATGTTTTAATGTTTAATTTAAAATACTGTGAAGGTCACCGGAGCGTGTCTCAGCACCGAGGCCTTCTCCCGTGTGCGTGCGTGACGCCCTCCTGCTGGGCCCCGGTTCGGGCGCGGTCTAAGTGCTGAAGGGCAGCGTGATCTTCGCTGACTCTGAATCCGTTTTCTAGCACTCGGGTTTCGTATTTTGCTGTTTTTGATGGACACGGAGGAATTCGAGCCTCAAAGTTCGCTGCACAGAATCTCCATCAGAACTTAATCAGGAAGTTCCCTAAAGGTGAGACTGAGGACCAGGTCAGCCAAGAGTCGGCCTGGGGTCGGCCGCTTGGTGGCCGGGTCAGCCAGATGTGTAGTTCTGTGCTTGTCCAGGAACCCTTGATGCCACCTACAAGACCCTGGGCTGAGAGGAGTGGGTTCTGAGGCTCCTGAATGTGTGGCAACTGTGTGGGTGTGACCTAGGGTAGCACTTCTTTTATTTATTTATTTGAAAGAATTGTAGAGAGTGAGGGAAAGACAGAGAAACAGAGAGCTTTTCCACCTGCTGGCTCATTCCCCAGGTGGCTGCAACAGCCAGGCTGAACCAGGAGGTCTTCCGGGTGTCCCATGAGGGTAGTGGGGACCCAAACACCTGGGCCATCCTCCATGCTTTCCCAGGCATTAGCTGAACCGAAAGTGGAGCAGTTGGGACACAAACCGGCACCCATGTGGGAAGCCTGCGTCGCAGGTAGAGGCTGTACCGCTGTGCCATTTCACAGGCCCCTAAGATAGCATTTCTTGTGTCACGTGGATCGTGGGCATGGTACTTGGGCATCTAAGAAAACCAGGTTCGAATGGCATTGTCTTGTAGATGAGGAAACAGAGGTTGGTCTTACTCATGCTTAGGAGTCAGCTGATTGGCAAAGAGAGAGAAAGGGGCTGACAGTGTGTGTGTGTGGGGGTGCTTCTCCTGCTCCTCCCTCCCTGAGAGCTGGTTGTCTTCCACCCCCACCCAAACAGGAGACGTGATCAGTGTGGAGAAGACCGTGAAGAGGTGCCTCCTGGACACATTTAAGCACACTGATGAAGAGTTCCTGAAACAAGCTTCGAGCCAGTGAGTAGAGCGCGGGGTGGGGGGCTCGCCAGGTGTGCTGAGATGGCTGACACGGTGCTCGCTGCTGAAGGATGCCCGCACCGCTGAGCTCCTACAGCCCTCACAGCCTAAAACGGGGAGGAAGCGGTGTCTGGGAGGCAGTCTGTCTGCGCCTTCAGCCCTGGAGATCAGCCTTCAGGGGTCTGCCTGTCTGTGACTGTGTTCCTGATGTGTTCCCCCAGGAAGCCTGCCTGGAAGGACGGGTCCACTGCCACGTGTGTCCTCGCCGTGGACAACATCCTTTACATCGCTAACCTTGGAGACAGCCGGGTGAGTGGGTGACAGCGTGTTCCCTGGGGACCTCAGCAGGTGCTGAACACGCTCTGGCTGTAGCTCTGCCGAGGGTGCTGGCGCACAGTGACTTCTGCGCTCTGGGAGGACCGCCTCCCCTCCGGCAGCCCACCTCCTTTCCTGTCTCTGTCTTCCCTGCCATGGCGTCCTGTGGGTCAGAATTCAGTGAGCACGCAAGCAGCTTAACTGTTTAACTGCGTTTCTCTGGCAGTAATGCGTGAGCACTGGTAACCCTGCCTCGCAAAAGCAGTGTGCTTTCAGCTTGAAAGCTGTGCCTAGGAAAGGACTAGGTGAGGTGCTGGTCTTCCACAGGGCCGAGGGCCAGGGCCAGACGGTTGTGTCCCATGGTGTGACACTCTGGACAGCCGGCCCAGCCCTCGCCTCTCCGTGTCACTGTGTCACGGCCAGCCTCCCTGCCGCCTCAGGCGCCGGAGCAGGGTGACTCTGCCCACCCAGGCTTTAGAATCAGACTCGGGTTTCGGCCCTGACTCTGCGGTGTGACTCACGTCCCGGCCTCAGCGTCCTCTGAAACAAACGGTGAACCCGGAGGGGATGGGGACTCACACGGGTACTGCCGTGGAGGGCCGCACGGAAAACATGCAGCCAGGCCGTGTCTCTGGAGGACGCAAGGCGAGGAGAAGCCTGGCACGCGCTGAGTGCTTCCCTTGCCTGTCTCAGGCTGAGTGACTTACTGTGGCCGTCCAGCCCGTGTGTCCAGTGTGGGCCAGCGTTCAGACCTAAACCAGGTCTTCGCCCCACCCTGTGACACTACTTTGCTATTTCATATTTCTCTGATGCGTGATCCCCAGAACTTATGTTCCGAGCTGAATATGAAGCACTGTTAAATTTGTCTTCAGCTGGTAACTTTGGGTGCTGGCTCCTTCATTCCCTAAGAGTGTTGTAATCTGCACCTCCCCAGGCAATCCTGTGTCGTTACAATGAGGAGAGTCAGAAACACGCAGCCTTAAGCCTCAGCAAAGAGCATAACCCCACCCAGTATGAAGAACGGATGAGAATACAGAAGGCTGGAGGGAATGTCAGGTAACCCTGGGCTGAGGGCAGTGGCGCTACGGCGTGGACGTGGCCCTCGGCGCAGTGGGCTGTGCTGGACGGCATGGTGCGCTGAGACTCCACCTGACGCTTAACACTGGTGTGTGGGTGGGTGAGCACCACAGGACAGAAACGTGCCTCCCTAACTGCCAACGGACCGTCCCGTTCAAGTTCACGTTCACCATTTGCATCATTTTCTCTGTGCCTAGGAAGTTCTTAAATACTGTCACTTGTCACACTGAGTCAGTCTTGGGTGAATTTTCCAAAGAGGAAATCTGAAGTGGTGGAGATAGGCGTTTGGAGTCCCCAGGAGTGGCGCAGAGGGCACGTCTCACCTGGCTCTGTCTTCAGCAGTTCCATTGGTCCCCTCTTTCTAGTCTTGGAAGCCTGTGGTTCTGCTTTGGTCTGTCGTCTGCCGTCTCTAAGAGGAAGAAAGGGTTGGTCTTCTCCGTGCTGGAGGGCACTTGCAGTTCAAGGACGTCATGCTATGAATGTGGCTGGACAAGTTTTCTGGTTTGCTGTGCAGCTGGGCCATCAGGGTCCTATGTTCTGCTGGAGATGAGACAGAAGTCTTCTCAGTGAGGCTGCCCGGATCTGCGTCTCCCCACAGCCCCTCTGTGTGCTTGTCTGGGGAGGTCTGTGTCACCACTCCAGGCCGAGTGCGGCCGTGGTGCAGGGAGCCTTCTGGAGGGTGGCTGAGCACCAGGAGTAGGGAGAGGGGGTTTCGGTCCCCGTCACTGCAGTTGACGTGAGTAGTGCTGAACTGGGCCTGCTGTCAGTCACGGGCAGTGCTGTTTGCTGCATTTTTTTTAAAGGAGAGGGATCTGTAGTTTTTCTTTTTTCTTTTTTTAAGATTTATTTATTTATTTGAAAGAGTTAGAAAGGCAGAGAGAGAGATAAAGAGATCCTTTATCCATATTGCACTCCCCAACTGTCCGTAACGGCTGGAGCTGTGCCAGTCGAGAGCCAGGAGCTTCCTCCAGGTCTCCCACGTGGGTGCAGGACCCAAGGCCGTGGGCCATCTTCCCCTGCTTTCCCAGGCCACAGCAGAGAGCTGGATCGGAAGTGGAGCAGCCGGAATGTGAACCAGTGCCCATATGGGATGCCGTCGCTACAGATGGCGGCTTTACCTGCTGCACCACAGCGCCGGCCCCTTGCTGCACTGTGACTGTGACTGCTGTAGAAGTAACTGCCTGGGGGTGTGACCTGATAGGAGTGCATCACTCCTTCTGCCCTAAAGCTGCAAGATTCTGCTGTTGCCAGATTCCTCAAAAGGAGTTTGATGTGGGCAGTTCTGTGGCTGCAGGGAAGGCCAGTTGCCTTGCAGTTCCTTTGCTCTCCTCACTCCCCATGTAATCTGGAAGGGTGTCAGATGGCCTGGGACAGTGCGGGCCTGGGTGCACCCTTCGTTTCAGAGATGGGTGTGGATCGCGGTCCCTGAGTAGCAGAGCCTGCTGTGACCTGCTCCCTGCTGCCCTAGTAATGAGATTTTCAAACATAAAGAAAAACCTTAGAGCTGTAGAACAAACATTTTCATACCCACCACCCAGATTCTGCATCCCACAGCTTACTTAGGGTGTGTGTGTCAGGCTGCAGTTTGAAAGGTGGTAGCAGATGTGATGACGTGACACCCTAAATACAAGGGTAAGGACAGACACCGTGATCAGTGACCACGCTGTCACCCGAGACTGAACTGTTTCCCTAGGTTACATTAGGTTGTCGCCATCCTGCCTGACACCCTAGGTTAGGCTGTCGACTACCTGTCTGATACCCTAGGTTAGGCTGTCGCCATCCTGTCCATGTGCCTATCTCCCCACCTGTCCAGACCGTCTTTGTTCCCAGTCACCCTCAGGCAGCACCCAGCCTGGGGCTCCGTTTCTTGCTAGACTTTGCGCGTGTTGGCCTCGGCCAGCAGTGGTGGAGTCTCTCCAGTTGTGAATTTGTTTCTTCATGGTGCCATTTTTCAGTTGTTTCTTGTACACTGGAAGCTAGATGTAAAGCCTTCTGTAGATTAAGAGTAAATGTTTTCAGTAGAAGTTTTATGGGAGATGCTATATACTTTTTATATATATATAAGATTGATTTATTTGAGAGGTAGAATTACAGACAGGGAGGAACAGAGAGAAAGGTCTTCCATCCGCTGGTTCACTCCCCAGATGGTCACAACGGAACCAGGAGGCTCCACCAGGTCTCCTACATGGGTGCAGGAGCCCAGGCATGTGGGCCATCCTCCACTGCTTTCCCAGGCCACAGCAGAGAGCTGGATGGAAGAGGAGCGACCAGGACTAGGACCAGCACCTGTATGGGATGCTGGCGCCACTGACAGAGCTTAGCCCACTACCTCACAGTGCCCGCCCTGACGCTGTACACTTGAGATCCCAGCTTGCGTAGGTGCAGGTGACATCACCATTGGGCGCAAGAGTCCCAGCACATGGGTGCTTCGTGTCTCCCTGTGCGAGAGTAGGTCATGTGGGAGTGCATTGTTCCCATTCGTGGTCCTTGCTTCATTAGGGATGACGAAGGTGGGTTTTCATGTTCTTCTCCCTCCCTGATAGGGGAAAACACAGTACTTCTGAAAAAGCAGGGTAAGTGTTTAATTCTTTCATTGAGCTGTAGTTTGCAAAGTAAAATGTCCTGTGTTGTGGAGACCAGAGTTTGCCCTTAACCTCTGTTTCTCCCTTTGTTTCCTTCCCCTGAGAGTCACTGTGGACTAGTGGACTCATGTACTCAGTATGCTGAGCTCTTTTTTTTTTTTTTAAACATTTATTTTTTATTTATTTAAAAGGAAAAAGTTACAGAGACAAGGAGGAGGAGGAAGAGAGAGATTGATTTTTTTTCATCCCTGATTCACTCTCCAAATGGCCACAATGGCCAGAGCTGTGCCGATCCAAAGCCAGGAGTCAGGAGCTTCTTCCGGGTCTCCAATGTCCCTGCTGGGGTCCAAGCACATGGGCCATCTTTTATTGCTTTCTCAGGCACATTAGCAGGGAGCTGGATCAGAAGTGGAGCAGCTGGATCTTGAACTGGTGCCCATATGGGATGCTGGCATTGCAGGTAGAGGCGTAACTTGCTACACCACAGCGCTGGCCCCACATGGCTGATTCCGATCACAGCATTGTGTTGTTTTCTGCTGCCCACGTTATCCAAGATGTGGCCAGTGGAAGCTTCTTCAGGCTAGTCCAGTGTCCTTTTCATATGTTAGGGTTATTGTGTGTGTGTGTGTGTGTATTTGTTTATATGACAGGCAGAGAGAGCATTGTCATTTGCTGGTTCATTTTCAAAATGCCTGCATTGGCTGGGGTGCTGAAGCCGGCAGCCAGGAGTGCAATGCAGGTCTCCCATGTGGATGGCAGGAACCCAACTACGTGATCACCTGCTATCTCCCAGGGCACGCATTAGCAGGAAGCTGCAGTCAGGAGCCAAACCTGAGTATCAACCCAAAGTACCCTGATGTAGAAAGTCTCAACTGCTAGACCAAGTGCCTGTCCCTTGGGTCAATGTTTAATAACCAGAATCTGCGTGCTGGGGTTGCTCATTTCAACTGGAGTATCATTAATTCTGTGCCTATTTAGTGACAGATGGCACTTGGAAACACATTTTAAATTGCATGCTTTGGGGCCGGCGCTGTGGTGCAGTAGGTTAATCCTCCACCTGTGATGCCAGCATCCCATATGGGCGCTGGTTCTAGTCCCGGCTCCTCCATTTCCAATCCAGCTCTCTGCTGTGGCCTGGGAAAGCTGTGGAGGATGGCCCAGGTCCTTGGGCCCCTGCACCCGCATGGGAAACTGGGAAGAAGCTCCTGGCTCCTGGCTTTGGACTGGCTAAGCTCCAGTCATTGCACCCATTTAGAGAGTGAACCAGTGGAGGGAAAATCTTTCTCTGTCTCTCCCTCTCACTGTCTGTAACTTTACCTCTCAAATAAATCAATGTTTTTAAAAACTGCATGCTCAGCTGGCTATTTCTTTTCCTTTAAAAAAAATTATTTATGATTTGAAAGGCAGAGAGAGAGGGTTCACTCCCTAAATGCTTGTAACGGCCAGAACTGGGCCAGGCCAAAGCCAGGAGCAAAGCACTCAGTCCAGGCCTCCCACTGGATGGTGAGGATCTGACTGACGTGAGCCGGCACCTGCTGCCTCCCAGAGTGTGTGGTAGCAGGAAGCTGGGATGGGAAACCTCGCCAGGGCTGGAACCCAGACACTGAGATTGGGTGTCCCTAATGGCAGCTTCATCACTGTACCGAACACCCTCCCCAGACGGCTGTCTTACTTAGAATTAACTTTATAGGCCTTTCTCAGAGCTTCTCTGATTTAGTATTTTTGGCTCTTTTATGCTAAAAATCTTGGTTCCTGATAATGTTAGTATATTTGTCAAAATGGTGTAAAAATCACAGTATCAAAATTACCACTGTTAACGATTTGAAACGTTCCTTCCTGTTCTCTTGCCCTTGGAATATGTGTCAGGGGCGGGTGTTTGGTGCAGCAGGTAGCACCCTGCCAGGGATGCCCACATCCCACATCGGAGTGCCTGGGTCCGAGTCCCTACTCTGCTTCCAGTCCAGCTCCCTGCTGATGGACGCCCTGGGAGGCAGTAAGTGATGGCTCAGTACTTTAGTGCCTGCCCCCAACGTGGGGGACCTGGATTGAGTTCTGGGCTCCCAGCTTTGGCTACGTCCAGCCCCAGTGTTGTGGGCATTTGAGGACCAGACCAGTGGGTGGAAAATGTCTGTCTGTTTCTGTTTCTCTCTCTATCTCTGCTCCTTTCAAATAAAATGAAAATAAATTGAAAACAAGTTTTTGAAAGATGTGCTGTCAGTATTGTGTGCAAAGGTTAAGTAATCATTTTCATCGTTTGGTTATTATGATCATTATTATAATTGTTTATATATTAGGGCTTTTTCTCCTTTATCAGTGACGTGGAGAAATTGGAACCCCTGCGCATTACTAACGGGACTGTAAAATGGGGCAGCTGCCGTGGAAAAAGTGTGGCGATTCCTCGGCATCTAACACAGGATCATCACACGGGGAGGGCCGTCCGCCTGACGGTCTAGGCGCGGGTTAAGAGGCCCGAGTCCCACGTCAGAGTTCTGGGTTCAGTTCCTGGCGCTCCAGTTTCCTGCCACTGCACACCCTGGGGGCACAGTGTGGGCTTGAGTAGATGGGACCTGGGTTGAGGTCCTGCCCTTGGCTGTGGTCCCAGCCAGTCCCCCACCCCCAGCCCAGCCCAGCCCAGCCCTGCCCTAGGTGTTGTGGGCATCTGGGGAGTGAATCAGTGGGTTGGAGCTCACTCTCTTTAATTATCATTTTGTCCTAGAAATTCCATTTCTGGCTGTGTACCCCAAAGAACTGAAAGCAGGGACTAGAAAAGATGATTTTTATAATCCACACTCACAGCAGCCTGTTTGTAGCAGGCAGAAGGGAGTTCCAGGTTCCTGGCTTTGGCATGAGAGTGAACTAGCAGATGGAAGATCTCCCTCTCCGTCACTCAGATAAAAAAAACTTTAATTAAAAAAAAGCCACTTCCTACAAAGAATTGTGATTCTGGGAGAGGAACTCTGCAGGTAGGGAAGGAGAATAAATTCCCAACAATCTGTTGGGAAGAGGCTGCTCTGAGGCATACAGACGTCTGCTGTGTCTGGGGCGCAGACTTTGTTAGAAGTGGAGCACATGCCGGAAAGAGTGCTAGCACACATGCTAGGACACGCTGGGAAGGTCCAGCACACATGTTAGCACACGCTGGGCAGGTCTAGCACACATGCTGGCACACGCTGGGCAGGTCCAGCACACATGTTAGCACACGCTGGGCAGGTCTAGCACACATGCTGGCACACGCTGGGAAGGTCTAGCACACATGCTGGCACACGCTGGGCAGGTCTAGCACACATGCTGGCACACGCTGGGAAGGTCTAGCACACACGCTGGCACACGCTGGGCAGGTCCAGCACACATGCTGGCACACGCTAGAAAGTTCTAGAAAAGCAGATGGAGCAGCTGGGGCCGCTGGGGCCGAGGAGCAAGCCTGGTCTGTAGTTGTCCTTTTGCATTTTCACTGAAATTGACCCGATGCAGGGGTGACGCCGTGCAGGGCTGGAGCTAGGGCCCTGCTTTGCTGCTGTTGCGCTGGATGGCATTTGCGTGTTCACGTCCTGGCTCACACGCTGCCATGTCCGAACACAGGCATTTCCGAAATGGATGGGCTTCCCAGGGCCGTGGTTCTGCCCACTGCTGACTGCCTCGGGGAGTGGGCCCTGCCTCTGCTGTTACTCTGACTGCTCAGGGAGTGGGCCCTGCCCCTGCTGTTACTCTGACTTCCTCGGGGAGTGGGCCCTGCCCCTGCTGTTACTCTGACTTGCTCAGGGAGTGGGCCCTGCCTCTGCTGTTACTCTGACTGCTCAGGGAGTGGGCCCTGCCCCTGCTGTTACTCTGACTGCTCAGTGGGCCCTACCCCTGGTGTTACTCTGACTTGCTCAGGGAGTGGGCCCTGCCTCTGCTGTTACTCTGACTGCTCGGGGAGTGGGCCCTACCCCTGCCGTTACTCTGACTGCTCGGGGAGTGGGCCCTGCCTCTGCTGTTACTCTGACTTCCTCGGGGAGTGGGCCCTGCCTCTGCTGTTACTCTGACTGCTCGGGGAGTGGGCCCTGCCCCTGTTGTTACTCTGACTTCCTCGGGGAGTGGGCCCTACCCCTGCTGTTACTCTGACTGCTCGGGGAGTGGGCCCTGCCTCTGCTGTTACTCTGACTTCCTCGGGGAGTGGGCCCTGCCCCTGCTGTTACTCTGACTGCTCGGGGAGTGGGGCCTGCCTCTGCTGTTACTCTGACTGCTCGGGGAGTGGGCCCTGCCCCTGCTGTTACTCTGACTGCTCGGGGAGTGGGCCCTACCCCTGCTGTTACTCTGACTTCCTCGGGGAGTGGGCCCTGCCCCTGCTGTTACTCTGACTTCCTCGGGGAGTGGGGCCTGCCTCTGCTGTTACTCTGACTGCTCGGGGAGTGGGCCCTGCCCCTGCTGTTACTCTGACTTCCTCGGGGAGTGGGCCCTGCCTCTGCTGTTACTCTGACTTCCTCGGGGAGTGGGCCCTGCCTCTGCTGTTACTCTGACTGCTCGGGGAGTGGGCCCTACCCCTGCTGTTACTCTGACTTGCTCAGTGGGCCCTACCCCTGCTGTTACTCTGACTGCTCAGGGAGTGGGGCCTGCCTCGTGCTGGAACAGGGCTCAGTGTTCGGGGATGCGGGCGGGCGCAGGTTGTCCTCGCTCGGCCTAGTGAGTTCTGTGTCTCCCACGCTCACCTGTGCTGTGCCGGAGCTGCTGGTGGTAACTCAATCTTCTGGGACCTGCCAGTGCTGAGGGGCCGTGACGGGCACGGGCAGGCTGCCTAGAGCTGAGCAGGCCCATCGCTCGTCAGTCCTCAGCTTTGTCCCTGTGTGCCTCGTGCGCCCTCTGGCTGTTTAGTACTTTGTGTGCCACCACACTGCTGATTTTCAGCGGCCGGCAGAACTGCAGCTGACCGGGCACAGGTGCGGTTCCGCCTCCAGGCCAGCAGCCCAGGCCCAGGTGTGGCTCCTGCCTTGGCGTCTGTCACACCGTCTGCAGAGCTCACGGGTTAGCAGTTCCGCACCTCCACACACATGCGCTCTCACACCTCTCTCCTGGGTTTACAGATGAGGGGCTGAGGGCAGGGCAGGGCAGGGCAGGGCAGTACGTGCTGGCCGGGGCTGAGCCATCGTGGGCACAGTAGGACTGCCGTAGTGTCTCTCGCCACCTCCCCCCCGTCCCCCCTCTAATGCTGTGTGCAGTGCTGCCGTTCATGTGCACACTGAATCAGCCTGCAGCTGCCCAGAAGGACGTGTGCTTTGCAGTCTAGGAGTAGCCATTTTGGTGTGTTCCCAAATCCAGTTAGACTGAAGTGCAAAACATCCCTGGTTCCAGCTGTTCGTTTTTTTCTTTCTTCATTTAGAAAAACAGAGAAATGGAGAAACAGAGATTGATCTTACATTTACTGGCTCATTGCACAAACGGCTGCAACAGCCAGGTGTGGGCTGAGCTGGAGCCAGGAGCCAGGAACTCGGTCCTGGTCTCCCACGTAGCGGCAGGGGCCACCCTCCACCTTCTCAGGCACGTTAACAGGAAGCTGGATCAGAAGCGGGCAGCCAGAGTGTGAACCAGCACCCTGACATGGGACGCCAGCGCCGCAAGTGGCGACGTAGCCCCCGCACGACGCCGCCACGTCCCAGCGGTTCTTAATCCTGGCTGCCTGCTGGAGCCACTAGAGGCGCTTTAGACAGAAACCTCGCGCCGGCCCTCTGTCCGCCTTGGGTTGGCCTGCTGCTGCGGCAGGCAAGCTGCTGCCAGAGCGGTCGGACTGGGCGCTCCTCCTCCCGCGGGTGCAGTGACGAGCCCGCTGACGTGGGGTCCCAGCCCACGTCTGTGACTCCCGGCTAGTGCTCTGGCGAGGTCGTGTGCCCGGGACCCGCGATCCATCACATGGACTCTGACACTTCTCCCGTTTTAGGGATGGGCGTGTCCTGGGCGTGCTAGAGGTGTCTCGTTCCATTGGCGACGGGCAGTACAAGCGCTGTGGGGTCACGTCTGTGCCAGATATCAGGCGCTGCCAACTGACGCCCAATGACAGGTAAGCATGCTGCCCTACACAGGAGTGCGTGTGCGTGGTGTGTCTGTGACCTTGAGCCCCTGCTGGGGGGGTGTGTGTGGGGGTGGGTGTGGAGAGGACGGCCATGTCTCGGGCACTGGGGAGCAGAGAGCAATAGAAGAATACAGTGCCCTCTGGTGAGGCCCACAGTGGTGGGGTCGCCCGGGGGATGGGCGGGGCAGTCAGGTTGGTCCTGTATAGGAGTGTGGGGTGCTCGGGGAATGTGGGGTGCTCGGGGAATGTGGGGGGGTTGTCCCTGCTGTAGAAGGGAGCTGGGCTTCCCGGCACAGAGGGGACCACACTGAGCAGACAGGTGGCAGGGTGAAAGCCGGGCCAGGCGCGCACCAGGAAGCAGTTCCAGGGGCTTGGAGGACGGGGAGGTGGGACACGGTGGCAGGGCACTGTGGGGACTCCTGGTTCCAAGCTGAAGTTGGAACAAGCTCATGACTTGTGGTTTCCAGGCAGAACTAAGAGAGGTTGAGAGAGGCCGACCCCGCAGTCGGGGTCCTGTGTCCCGCGTGTCTGAGACGGGGACAGTGCAGCCCGGCAGGCTCAGGCCTGGGCCGCGAGGCCAGGGAGACCTGTGGAGATGTTGTCCGCCGTAAGGCGCAGGAGCACCCTGCAGGGCGGCTCAGGAAACCGCACTCGGGCTGACTGATGGAGGGGTGAGGGCAGCGGTGACGCTGCCACCGTGGGGGTCTCCCCAGGCTGCGGGGGAGCAGAGTGCCCTCTCCTTTGTCCCCCACCTGCCTGCAGCGTGCCGCACTCCTGCCTTCCCGAAGGCTGGCGCGCGTTTCCCGCAGGACAGCTGTCTGCCCAGCACCCCGGGTTTGTCCACGTGCCTTCGCAGGGCCACGGGACTCGTTCAGGGTCTGTCAGGGCAGCAGCAGGGGAGGGCTCTGCTGGCATCGGCCCCACAAGACCGTGTGCCGAGTGAGTGCTGGCTGGACGGACGCCCCCAGGACGTGGGCGCTGCGGGAGGGGAGAAAGGGCCAGCTGACCCAGAGCCGTTCCGAGTGGCAGGCTGGGCGCAGGCGGTGGTCTGCTCTGGGTCTCGGGCCCGCACACAGCGCCCCCGCGCCCCCTCAGCCCTGCGCCTCTGGGAGGTGACAGCAGGCAGGTGGTGCCGCCAGGTCAGTGAACGAAACCCACGCCGCGTCTTCAGTCAGTGATTTCTCAAGGGAGTGGGACCTCGCGGCCCCTGATGGCGGAGGAAGGCGGGTGAAGGGAAGCGCGCTCCCGGTTTTCATGTAAAACAGCCTGCCTTCTAAAATCTTAGCCCTGAGTAATTGGAAAATACTTGTCTTACTTCCGTCTGAGAATTGGACAGATGCTTATTCTGCTCCACCTCTAGGCCATCTGGTCTTTGCAGAGCTTCTGCTAATGCCTCCTCTCTCATCCTGGCGCCGCAGGTTCATCTTGCTGGCCTGTGACGGGCTCTTCAAGGTCTTCACTCCGGAAGAAGCCGTGAACTTCATCTTGTCCTGCCTTGAGGTAGGCGGTCTCAACCACACCTTCTGTCAAGTTCTGAGACCCGGGTCCTGGAGGGGGCAGCCGCGGGCTGTTTCAGTGGGACCTGTGCCCAGGGCTGTCTGTCCCTCGGCCACGGTGCCACAGGAGGTGACAGGCCCCTTTCCCGCCTGGCAGGACGAGAAGATACAGAGCCGGGAAGGCAGGCCCGCCGTGGACGTCCGCTACGAAGCTGCCTGCAACAGGCTGGCCAGCAAGGCGGTGCAGCGCGGCTCCGCCGACAACGTCACCGTGATGGTGGTGCGGATAGGGCAGTGACCGCCGCGCGGCCGGGAGCGCGTGTTCCTCTCGTGTTGTGCACATTGTGTTCTGTGTACTCCTGTGGGGCGCCCATGGTTGTAAATAAAGGCTGCTTTCTTTCTTTTTCCTTCCCTAGTCCTCTGAATCCTCTGCCTGTGCTTTGAGGAGCGTGGACCTTCCGAGGTTGGATGTGTCTGCCTCCGAGTCCGCTCTGGCCTTGCATCGTGACGGCGGGGCGCCTCGGGCGGGGCGCGCGCCGCTGCGGGCCTGTGTGCCGTGGACGGAGCTGGCCTGTGCTTCCGCAGCCCTCTGACGAGCCACGGAAAGGAGGCCAGGGTGACGTCGCCCGGGACGAGGCTGCACCTCACCCAGGGTTTTGGGGACCGTGTACTTCCCTTCTGTCTTCACACACACACTGTTGGAGACGTCACACGACAGGGCCCAGGCCGGCCAGCAGACCCACAGCAGCTAACAGCACGCACCTCCGCGTATTCTAAGTCCACGGGAAACGGTGCAGTGTGTGTGCAGGGCTCGGGTGATAGGGTCAGCTGTTGGATCCGGGCCCTGGCTGGGAGGCAGGCGCCTCCTGGGCCGAGTGTCGGCTGCCAGCCAGGAGGCCGCCAAAGTCCCACTTCCTGCTTTGGGGGTGTGCGGCAGCTGGCTTCCTGCCGCAGGGAGGGTGTTCACAGGGGCCCTTCTGGGGATAGTGCCCACAGGAACGCACGGCCGGCCTGCTGGGGAGACGCCTCCGAACGCCTCTGGCATTCCTGCTGTCGCCTTCTCAGTGAAGCAGCCCCTAGGTCCTTCTGCATGACTGCCTGAGGATGATGTAAGATTCTCAAAACTTGCCTTCACGGAATCCGTTTTGTAATGTTCACTGGCCCTTGCCCAACACGGGCGCACACACACATGCCCGCGGTCTTATCACCGGGCCGCCCAGTTGGTGGTGCTGGGGTCCAGGCAGCCAGCACCGCGGTGGAAAACACGCGTGCAGACCTGCCTCCTTCCGGGCCTACTGTGTGAAGCCGTGAGAAAAAGGAACAAAGGAAGGGTGGTGCGGCCCCGCCAGGGCTGCTAGAAGCCACGCGCCCACCTCTGCGTGGGGGCGGGGCCGTCCTCCATGTGGCATCCACCAAGAAAAGTGACTCAGCCCCTTGGAATCGAGATGGGACAGTTTATTCAGTACTCAGTGCCTATAGCAAGCCAGGGTCAGGCCTGCACACAAGGCTGTGACTCACGTCCGCGAGCGCCAGGGAGGCCCTCCCTGCCACCTCCAGGGGGTCGAGGAGTGTCCCCCAAGTCCTCCCTGCCCACAGGGGACCTGGGCCAAGGGCTTGAGTGCGCCTGCCCTGAGTGCTGATTTTGTGCAGTCCTGTGACACAGTCTAAGCTTCCTAAGTCAGTTCTGTGAATACGTTCCTCCTGCAGCAGCACACGGTGAACACCTCGCTAAGTTGCCCTGAACACTTAGTTGAGAAAAAGGAGAGATGGGTGTATGTGGCTTCTCACAGAGTAAAAGATAACTTCTCTAACTATCTGCCCGCTGGATACAAAGTGAAATCCAGAGGAGGGAGTGGCCACAGCACCCCTTATCGACGTGCACGGGGAGGCAGGACTTGGGCCAGGACTGGGGCTAGCCCGCGGCTTCCAGGCAGGGTGGGTACAAGTTCCGAGAATCTGCCAGGCCTGCCCAGGGGGTGCAGAGTGGTCAGTTTATTGATGCCCTTGGCTGGGAGACGCTTGGTTCTGGATGGAACCAAGGGTGGGGGCCTCTCCCCAGCCTGGTCCGCAGGAGGCCCTGCCTCCCCTGGTCCCGGCCGTCCATTTGGTGTGGGCCGGGGGCGTCAACTTGCTTAGCAGGCCTTGTCACTGCCTACCCAGGAAGATCTGGGAGGGTCCGGGCTGACAGCCCTGCCCGCCCCCACGTCCCTTCACTGACCGAGCTCAGAGCCACGCGGCCGCCCAGGTGGGGAGGAAGCATCCGAGCGTGCTGGGCCCAGCCAGGCTGCCCTGCCCGTGCAGTGGGAGCTGGTCAGCAGGCCGCCGACCCCTCCACAGGGACAGCTCGGATCTTCCCAGTGCACGGGCCCACAGCGAGGCGGACTCTGAGGGATGGCTCTGGGGAGCTGAGGGCCTTGTCTGAGGAGGGGCTCCCACCTGGGAAAGGCCTGTGCCAGGTGAGCGTGGTGAGTTAGTCTTGCATGCGCTGGAGGTGGGAGCCAGGTCCAGTCACGGTGTCTGCCCCGGCCACGTCCAGGGTTCCTCTGGTCCCTGAGGCTGTGTGCCAAGGGTTCACGGTGAAGGTCTCCGGTTCCCCAGGAGCCCAGGCAGGCCAGGCTGTTGCCTGGGGAGGTGCGGCGGCTTAGCCCTGCACAGGCTCACCTGCAGGATGCGACCCTGAAGGACACTGGACCGCAGGGGGAGCGGAGGCTCTCTGGGAGCTGTCCCCAGGCCGGGGGAGCCAGGGCTGCAGCTGGGGACACAGCAGGTGCCCTGAGCACAGCGCTCCCCTCCTCCAGGGTGAACGACTCGGCCCTGGGGCTGCGGGCTCGCGGTCTCCCCTGCAGGCCCACCCGTAGCCGCTTAGCTGTCGCGGCCGGTGTAGCGTCTTCCAGGTGGTTTGCTCCTGCACGTGGCCTCTGACGCCACCTAGCCGTCGCTCAGACCCCCGCTCCGTTTGCCAGGCAGGAGGAAGGGGCCCGCGGCGCCATTCACACGCCCAGGAGGACGGCACTGAAGTGGGAGCCGCTGCGCACCGTGAGCGGGGAGCCGCTGGCGTTGTCCAGGAACACAGAGGTGTGCTGTCCTGTCTGCAGGCAAGGGCGGCGTCAGGCCCGGCCCCTGCAGGTGCACCCGGGGCCAGTCAGCCGCGGTCCCTCAGCAGGCCAGCGCCCAGAGGAGGTGGCCTGTCCCGGGCTGCAGTGTCCTCTAGTTCCCATGTGTGGGCCGTGAGGGTCTAGGACAGTGGCAGGGTGGCCTTTGCCCCCTCGGCCTGGCCCCAGCCATGACACAGCCGTGCTCCCTGCACCGGCAGCGTCACATCCCCCGGCAACTCAGACCGACCTGGCGAGATCCACACAGGGCACGAGCTTTGGCTGCCTTTGCCGGGCCAGCTCCGCAGCAGATGGCCTGGCCTCCTGAGCTCGGGCCGGCGGGGACGGTCACCAGTGCTCGCCAGAGCGCTCAGCTCACCCCGGAGCTGTGCACCCAGCTCACTTGGCTGTCTCGTTCTCAGTCCAGTCCGTCTTTATGTCAGTTTCCCTGTCACTTGTCCAAATCCCCAGAGTGCCCAGGAGAGGTGGGCATGGAGGGTTCAGGGTGGAAAACACCAGCTCTGGCCTGCTGCCGGCTCCGTGGGCCCAGGTGTCATGATGTCCACTCGGAGCTGAGCTCCACGTCCTCCCCCAGGGGTGGCCCTGAGCACCTGTCCGGTATGTGGTGTTTGGGGAGTGGCTGTTAACGGGGCCAGGCGTCCTCAGGGCAGATGGGAACCTGCAGCCCAGCTCTGCCAGGGCCAGCGCCGGTGCCCGTGGGTGCCCTGAGTCTGAGGGTGCTGTGCCCACTGATCCTGTCCCCATGTGGTCACCCGTGGCCATGCCCAGACCTGTGCCACACACCTGCAGATACAGGATGCCGTTTACGGAGATGGTGAAGAGCTCGCTGCTGCTGTCCAAGCCCGTGACGGCCTCCAGGGCGCTGTTCCGGGACAGACAGAGGGTCAGCTCGCCCCGCCCCCAACCCACCACCCTCCCCCACAGCAGCCAACTAGCCATGCCCTGGGCCTGGCCGGGGGCTGGGGGTGGAGAGGCTCAGGCCAGACAAGCCAAGTGCTGCCTCTGAGGGGAAGCGGGACCTGGCACGGGGGGTTGGGGCCGAGGCAGCAGGTGTGGCTCACAGCCAGCTGAGGCCACTAAGCCCACGTTCTCAAAGACAGGCTGGACAGTTTCAGAGCCTCCCCGAGCCACCCCGCCCCCGCCCTGGGCTCCCAGCCTCGGTGGGGGAGCTAACAGTTGCCACCAGACCAAAGTCCGCATGGGGCGGTGAGGACCCCAGCAGTGAGTCACAGACGTGATGGTGGGTTGAGGGGTCAGAGTGACCTAGGGAGGGGGCAGGAGGAGGACTGGGCCCAGGCTGCAGCCGGCACCGGGGCGGAGGGGCCTTCCCGGAGGAGGAGCGCGGGTGGGCGGGGCGGGGTGCACGCACGTGTTGCTCTGGCACCGGGACTCGATGCAGATGAGCAGGCGCAGGTGGTCGCGGGGCCGCGGCGTCCCCCGCCTCAGCGGCTCGGCGAGCGCTGCGGGGCAGGTGGGGTTGCGGTCACATTTTTGGGCTGCGGGGATGAGGGCGGGCCGTCCCTCCTCTGCCCAGGACTCACCCACGTGCAGCGTAGCGGCGAGCGCGTAGAAGCCGGCCACGGGTGCTGTATACTGGCCGCTGGTCAGGTTCAGGCCCAGGCCGCGCCGAAAGGAACCGTCGGCGTTGGGCTGCGGGGCGCACAGACGTCACCCCGGGGCCGCCCCTTGCCCCGGCCCGCGCCCCGGGGCCCGGCCTCACCAGGTAGTAGGCGCCGAGCTCCTGCAGCGCGCGCCGCTCCACCGCCACGTCCCGGCGCAGGCGGCAGTGGAAGGCGGCCTCCACGCGCGGCGTCCGCGGGCCCAGGGCCAGGGGCGCGGCCAGCAGCGCCAGCACGCCCCCCGCCTCGCCGTCGCCGTCGTCTTCGTCGTCGTCCTCAGGGCCGCCAGGGCCCGGTGCTGGGCTCGCGGCTGCTGGCCCTCCAGGGCTTCGTGGGCAAGGCTGCAGAACCGCGCCTGGCACGGGAGGAGTGGTGGCCGTGGGCCGGGACACCTGCCTGCTGGGTCCGTGGGAGCCGCCCCCTCGGCCTGCAGGACCTGGGGGACCTTGCTTCCCAATTCTGCTCCTGTTTCCCTTAGCCTTGGCTACCAGGAAGCTCGGGGCACCCAGTCCCCCTCACCAGCCGACCCAGAGTTTTGGAAAGAAGCCAGGCCTCAACGTCAGCTACACTGGAAGTAACAGCGGCTTTCCAGCCCGGGCAGGTGGTGCATGTAAAAGAACAGTCCGCGCGACAGAAGGCGGAAAGCACTCTCAGCGCTGAGTCCCGGCTCAGCTGGCCACAGAGCAGAGACCCCACAGCTGGGCCCAGGGCTGCTGTGGGCGCCAGGCTGGGCTCCCACGGGGCTCCCTGACTCCCAGGGCCCAGAGCCAGGGCAGGGCCCAGAGCCGGCTGCGGGGCTGGGCCTGGGCTCCGGGACGCCCTCCCTGGCCCTGCTCACTGCGGGCTGTGCACCCTACCTTTTAGCAGCAGCTGCAGCTCCCTCAGCAGTGCCTCCCATGGGATGATGGGGCCTGGGAGCCCCCGGGGGCCGGGAGGCCCGGGGGGCCCTGGCAGGCCAAGCTGCAGGGAGAGTTCAGTGGTGAGGACGTCAGAGGAGGCGTCCCCTCCACACGCTCCTGCCACAGAGAGGCAGGCCAGCGCTCCCAGGTAGCCCTGGGTCAAGGTGTGGGGCGGGGCCTGTAGCCCACCCCTGCTCTGGGTTTCCCGGAGGCAGGGAGATGGGCTCTGCCCCTAGGCCCACGTGGCCCAGCCTCCAAGGAGCCCGCACTGGCGGGGTCAGAGCCCAGGAAGCCCCCTACAGGGAGGAGTGAGAGGCAGGGCTGGGTGGCTCAGAGGTGGTGACCAAGGTCCTGGTCATGGCCCAGCTAGCGCCCCTGCCTCATGCGCCCCAAGCTGGCCTTCTGCCACCAGACTGAGGCAGGGTGAGGCTGGCCCCGTGCTGACACCCAGTGTGGGCCGCACAGCCCTGGTCAAGTCCTCGCCCTCGGGGACTCACGGCAAGAGTTGGCCATCAGGACCAAGTGCCAGGTCCCTGCCCCAGGCTGCCAGTGGGAAAGCAGCAGCTGCCCACCTGGGCCCCGCCGTGTCATGCAGCCCACCTGGGGCCCCTGGCAGTCCTCAGGGCCGCCTGGCAGTCCGGAGCAGTGCCGGTGGGGGAGCCAGGCCCACCCTGGGCCCTGCAGGCGGCAGCGCGTGCTCTGGCCCAGGGTCTCTGCCCACCTTGAGCTTCCTGGCCTTGCCCCTGCTCCTCCTCTTGCTGTTGACACCCTTGTCACTCTGCCTGACGAACAGCATCCAGGCGTCCCGGGGGTCCATGCCGCGCGCCTGCTCGCCGGGGGGCTCCTGGAACATGGGCAGCCGGGAGGTCAGTTGGCCTCTCCCAGCGTCCGCTGAGCAGGTGCGGCATTGCAGGGGTGACTGGTGCAGGACTGGCCTTCGGCACCCGGCCTTGTCCCCAGGGGTGCCCTCGAAGGCAGCACGTCCCCGCCCCCACCCCAGCCTATGGAGGACGGCTCCTGGGGAACAGGTGGCCCCTGCCTTGGGGCCACCGAGGGTCATGGTCCAGGGCAGGCAGGGGGACCAGAGCCAGAGAGATGTTGTGACCCGGAGTCTGTCTGGACCCTCTCTTCCCAGGACGTCCAGAAATGCCCCTTGCTGTGCACGCTGAGTCCCGACCCGTGGGAGGAAGCTTTGGGGAAACACGTTTGGCTCACTGGGCAGTGGGAGCCTCAGGAAGCTGGCCGAGGGCCTCGCTGAGGTCTCGGGCCAGTGGCTGATGGAGTCACGGCCCTGTGCTTCCCACTCAGCGTAGACCCAGGGCCACCCCTGGGAGCTTGATGACCCATGCGCCGGCCAGCGAGGGCTCCGGTGTCGTAGCTGGGCCAAGTACCAGGGTGCTGTCCCGTCAGCACCTCCCTGTGTCTTGCACGGCCAGCTGGGCCAGCGGCTGGTGGCTCTGCACGGGCACCGGACTGGGGATGCCACGTCACAGCTCTCAGCGCCGCTGGTGGGAACCGTGGCGTGAGGCTTCCCCGCACAGCTCAGGATGGGCCTGCTGAGCTGACCCTCTCAGCTGGACTCCTGGCTGGGGTGGACTCTGACCCCAGTGGTTTGAGGGGGAAGGAAAGGGGGATCTGTGTGGGCCAGGGGCCCCCAGAGACGGGCCTCAGGGGTGTGGGTGGGTGCTGGGCAGCTGCCTTGGCCAGCCAAGTTCTGCACCGGGAGGTGGCACCTTCAGAGAGGAGCAGAGGGGCGGGCGTTGTGCAGCCGGCGAGGCCACGGCTTGCCATGCACCCCTGTAGGTGCCCAGCTCCAGTCCCGCCTGCTCCGCTTCCGATGCAGCTCCCTGCTAATGTGCCTGGACAACAGCAGGTGACGGCCCAGGTGCTTGGTCCCTGCCACCCCCGTGGGAGACCGGATGCAGTTCCTGGCTCCTGGCCCAGCCCTGGCCCTGCAGCTATTTGGGGAGTGAACTGGTAGATGGAAGATTCTCTCTCTCTCTCTGTCTCTCCCTCACTCTTTGTCACTCTGCCTTTCAAGTAAATAAATGCATCTTTAAGGAAGGAAGGAAGGAAGGAGCTTGGATGGACAGGCATTTGGCATGGGACCCTGACCTCTTGCCTCAGAGCGTCTGGTCTGAGTGCCAGCTTTCTGTCCACAGATGACGGCCCAGGCGGCTGGGTCCTGCCACCCCGTGGGAGACCGGATGCGGTTCCTGGCTCCAGCCCTGGCTGCTACAGACATTTGAGGAGTGAACCAGCAGATGGAAGATCTCTTGTGTCTCTCTGCCTTTCAAATAAATAAATACACAGATAGCAATTTTTAAAAAGAAAAGAGGCTTGGAGTCTGAGGCAGCCTGTGGTGCCAACTTGGCCCCTAAAGAAGGCCCAAGGCCAAGGCCAAGGCTGGAAGCACTGGCGTCCCCTCTGCCTCCTGCTGGCCATGTCTCCTGCCTGAGTGGTTTGGACGGGGGTGGGCAATGCCTCCCCCATGGGGAGCAGCTGAGGCGGGGGGGGCAGGATGCCGGGTTTGGGGAGCCCTGCCGCCTCCACATCTCCAGCCCTCCCCAGTGTGTGGACTTCTGGCTGCTGGCATGTGTGTGTGCGTGTCTGTATTTAAAGATGTATTAATTATTTGAAAGGCAGAGTTAGAGAAAAGGAGAGACAGAGATCTATCTGTTGGTTCACTCCCCAAACAGCTGCAACAGGCGGGGGCGGGTGAGGCTGAAGCCAGGAGCCGGGAACCCCCTGGGGGTCTCCCAGGTGGCAGAGCCACCCTCCGCTGCCGTACCAGGAAGGCTGGGAGGGAGCTGGAGCGGAGGTGGGGCGGCCGCATCAGGCCCCGGCTCCCCTGCCTACTGCTCTCAGCCTTCCTGGCTTTGCCCTGCCCCCAGGCACCTTCAGAACTGTGACCCCGGCCCGTGCAGCCCTCTCCCCACCCCGAAAGGCTGCATCCCCCGGAGGGCTCTTCTGGGGTGCGGTCCTGCTCCCCACCCTCGAGCCTGGAAAGCAAGGAGCTGCGGAGGGCCGCCCCCACCCGCGGCCGGCCACAGGTACCTGGACGACAGCCCCGCCCCTGGGCCCCCGGGACGGTGGGCAGGACTTCGTGTCCGGGGGGAGCTGCACCCCAAGCCAGGCTCAGGTGTGCGCTCACGCTTTTAGGCACGGGCGCTCCCAACTCGGTGCGCACCAAGGGACCCGGAGCAGGGTTTCCCACTGGCCTGGTGGGACCTCGCCAGATCCGCCCCCAAGCCAAGGTCCAGGCTGCGGACGGCGGCGACCCCTGCGCGGGGCTGCGTCTACACCGCCCGCGCCAGCCGCTCCCATGGGACGCAGCGCCGCGCCTCAGCCAGACGCAGGGTCTCGGGGCGGGCGCGGGCGCTTACCGGCGCGCGGGCGGGCGGCTCCGCACGGCCGTCCGCGGGGCCCGTGGGCAGCTCGTTTGCGGGCGGCGGCTCCTCGAGGGCGCGACCCCCTGCGGGTGCGCGGGGCTCCGGGGACCCGAGGCCCGCGGCGGCGGCGGCGGCGGCGGCGGCCAGCAGCCCCGCGCAGACGAGCAACAAGCAGGCCCCGGCGGGGCGGCGGGCGGGAGCCATGCGGGCGGCTTCTCGGAGCGCGGCTTCCCGGGATCCGCGGGTCCGCGCCTTATAACGCGCTTGAGTCCCGCGCCGCGCCCCCTCCCGGCTCCGGCGCGCGCTGCGAGGCGGGGCGGGGCTGCGGGCGGGCGGGCGGTGCGTGGCTGTCCGCCCCGGGCGGCCTGAGCGCCCCCTGCTGTCCGGTGCGCCTTGCCTGCGGGCCCGGCGCCGGGATGCTCCCCGCACGCTCGCCCCCTCCGCACCGCGGGGCGGGGAAGCCCTCAAGACCCCCCACCTCTCAGAGGCCCCGCAGTTGAGTCGGCAGCCCTGTTCCCTAGCCGTGGGCAGCTTCACTGGGCCCCGGGCCCAGCGGCTGCTCGCACACCTGATGTTCTTGGCCAGGTGCACCCAAGGCCGTGCAGGTGCACGATGAAGCTGGGAGTGGGCCCCAGGACTGACCCCTGGTGTTCTCTTAAATAACACAGGAGAGGCGATGGACACGTTTTCAGTTGCTATGGAAGTGGAGTTTCCCTCTGGCCTGGCTGGGCTGTCCGTCAAGCCAGCGGCGGGCGTCGGGAGGTCCTGGCACCTGCTCCAGTGCCCACTTGTTCCGGGACACCCTGAGGACACAGGGTGTTCTCCAGCCGGGGGCTCCTGTCCCTGGGACACACAGCTGGGGGGGGGTGCTCTCCAGGCCCCAGGCAGGCCCCCGCCCCAGGGCACGGCCGCATGCTGTTGCAGCTGGCGTGAGATGGGAGCTCTGTGGTGGCCCTGGTGCTGCCCCTGGAGTGGGTCCCACGGGTGCAGGATGCCCTGCAAGGGGGCCCAGCCGTGGCCGTGACTCAGGGTGGGTGGACGTGGGCCACCTGGGAAGGTGGGGCCCGGGCTGTCACCCTTGGCCACGCTGGGGTGGGCAGGGATGGGGACCCCCGTTTGAGGACGTGGTCCCAAGTCGTTCATGTGACATCACCCCCCTCAGTGAGGCAGCGCTGAGCAGGCGCCGTTGCCAAGTGAAATCCCGTTATTTTCCCAAACAGTGAGCCATCGCAGTGATGTCATAGGGCCTGTCGGAAGGCCCAAATCAGATCGGTTCTGGTGCTGGTGCGGCTTCCTGTAACACGATCCCAGGCCGAGAACAAGCCTGGCCCGCCCCCAGAAGCAGCGGGGGGTGGGTGCTGCGGCCTCCAGGTGGGGTCCCTGTGTGTTTCTGGGGTCTCCTTTCAAAACTGCCCATGCGGAGGAGGGCGGAACTTAGCTAGAATCCCCCTAGGGCACCAGAAGACGGTGTTTCTGTGACCCTGGGTGCCCACCCACGGAGCCGCCTGGCCCCGGGGCGGGAGGAGGTCCCAGCGAGACCCAGCATGGAGGCGCAGCCCGGGAGCACCGCACCCGGACGGCGGCTTCAGGCCTGCCTGAAATCCAGTCCCCATTCTTGGGCCCTCCTGTCACGGCCTCACCGCGCCTCCCAGGAGCTGAGGCCGTCAAGTGTTTCCTTTCTCTTACCCAGAGGAAGGACCTCTGCTGATGAAGTCATGGGAAAATCCAGCTCCCTTTGCCCTGACAGCACTGGAGCCGGAAGTGAGCTCGCGGCCGCACGCCGTCCGCGTGCTCCGCGCCATCACTCTCAGGTCATTCTGCAGATGTCCAAGGTGGGACTCAGACCTGGGCTCAGCTCCAGGCTGTAGAGCCACCCAGTGTAGCCATGGCCAAATCCAGCCCCCACACCACCGACTCGGCGCCATGAACATTCACCGGGTTCCACGCGGCGCTGGCACAGGCTGAGGGTGGGGAGTGAGCCCCGGGGGTCCTGGGAGGTGGCGGAGACCTCCCTGCTCTGCATGCAGGGCCGACTGCCCATTCCTGCTGGTTGTCTCCGTGTTCTCAACGACTAATTAAACACCAATCTCGCTGGCACCGCGGCTCACTAGGCTAATCCTCCGCCTTGCGGCACCGGCACACCCGGTTCTAGACCTGGTCGGGGGGCCGGATTCTGTCCCGGTTGCCCCTCTTCCAGGCCAGCTCTCCGCTGTGGCCAGGGAGTGCAGTGGAGGATGGCCCAAGTGCTTGGGCCCTGCACCCCATGGGAGACCAGGAGAAGCACCTGGCTCCTGCCTTCGGATCAGCGCGGTGCGCTGGCCGCAGCAGGCCAGCCGCGGCGGCCATTGGAGGGTGAACCAACGGCAAAGGAAGACCTTTCTCTCTGTCTCTCTCTCTCTCACTGTCCACTCTACTGTCAAAAAATAAATAAATAAATAAAAAAATTTAAAAAAAGAAAAAAAAAACACACCAAGCTCTGTCTCACTCTCAGCCAGACACAAGAGGTGGACACTGGTGGTCCTGTTTGCCTTTTTGGTAAGAACCACATTGTTTTTTCTTTTTCTTTTAAAGATTTATTTTATTGGGGCCGGTGCTGTGGTGTAGCAGGTGAGGCTGCCGCCTGCAGTGCCCGCATCCTATGTGGGCGCCGGTTCGAGTCCCAGCTGCTCCTCTTCCAATCCAGCTCTCTGCTGTGGCCTGGGAAAGCAGTAGAAGATGGCCCAAGTCCTTGGGCCCCTGCACCCACGTGGGAGACCTGGAAGAAGCTCCTGGCTCCTGGCTTTGACCTGGCCCAGCGCTGTCTATTGCAGCCATCTGGGGAGTGAACCAGCAGATTGAAGACCTCTTTCTCTCTCAAACTCTGCCTTTCAAATAAATAAATAAATCCTTAAAATTTAATTTATCTATTGAAATACAGAGTTACAAAGAAAGAGAGGGAGGGAGAGAGCTCTTCCATCCACTGGTTCACTCCCCGATGGCCCCAGCGGCCAGCACTGGGCCAGGTCAGCTCAAGTCCAGCCTGGGAACAGAGCTGATCCCACCCTGCAGAAGCAGCAGGGCCCAGGGGCCCCCCACATACACCCAGAAGCCCCTTGGGGCCCCGAGAGGGTTCAGGCCAGAGTCAGTGGGCTGGTCTTGGAGAGAAACCCAGATCCAGTGGGCGACAGGCACTGCCCAGGGCCACGGCTGGCGCCGGCTCACCCGACCCTGCCCCCAGCCCCGAGTCCTGTGCCGGGGGCCCTGACTCAGCGGCAGGGAGTCCTTTGTCGCCTGTTTGGTATAGACACGCTGCCCGTTCAGGACAGGAGAGATGGCGCCAGGAGGCGGAGCCAGCCAGACTCGGGGCCCCTGAGGCAGGCGCAGCCACCCTGGTGACGCTGCTGCGTGCTGGCTCGATGCCGCTTCCCTCGGGGCTGCTGGGAGCCCCCCACCCACACAGAGCCCACGTGGGTGCCCCCGGCGAGGAGCACCCGTCTGCAGGGGAGCCACGGTTTTGTGCCACTCACTGTGCAGACGGGGGCGCTCTCCTTGCCCCAGGCCCGCCACCCCCTCCCCAGCTGCCACCCTGGGCGGCTCCTGTGACCCCGGAAGCAGATTTGGGCAGTGGCATGCACGGAGCCAGCTCTGGGGGCGGTGGACGTGTGGCCTGAGCCCAGTGCTGCCCCCACCCCGGCAGCCTCAGCCTCCGAGGCCACTTCCGGGGCCCCGGGACAGGAGGAGACGCGAATTCGGAGGGCGCTGTCTGGACCCCCGGGCTCCCTCCTCTGGGGTCTCCCGGCCCCTCCCCCTTGCTCCCAGCCCAGGCCCTGCTGTGGGCAGCGGGGCGTCCGCTGTGGTGGCTCCAGAGTCCAAGGCTGCGTCCCTGAGTGTGCCCTCGATGGCCCCTGGTGGCCAGAGCCCAGCTGAGCCCTGGAGCGGGCGGCGGCTGCGGGAGGAGAGACCAGACCAGAAGGTGGGGCGCGGGCAAGCCCCGCCTAGTGCTCCCGGGCGGGGCTGAAGGGCTGAGTCCACTTGGAGACCTCCAGGAAGACGGCCGAGGCCCCGTGGTAGAGCCAGAGGCGGGGCAGGGCGCCGTGGCACGTCCAGGCGTCGCGCACGGTGTCGTAGGCCTCCATCTCCACGCGGTAGTCGCCGTCCATGCCCTCCCAGCGGCCGCCCGTCACGTACAGCGCGTCCCCCAGCGGCACCAGCGCACCGTTCTCATGCAGGCTGTGCTGCGACTGCACCTGAGCAGGGCCAGCGGTCAGTGTCCGGGGGGAAGCCCGGCCCCACCCAGGGAGCGCAGGGACCCCGCCTGTACCGGCAGGCCCAGCGCCCCCGTCCAGCTGAGTGGCCCAAGAGGTACTCCAGCCCCCTGGGGTCCCAGGGGCACGGGGAGGCTGGGCCTGCACCCGTCTGGTCTCCACACAGGATGGCGGTGGCAGCTGCCCCACCCCCAGGCCTGGAGGGGGCCCCGGGGACACGCACGGGGGCTGGGAGGGCCCGGGGGGAGCTCGGCTTGGCAGGGCCGGCCTGCACCTGTTTCCCGTGGTCCCGGGGGCCCCAGGTCGGCGGGGTGCTGACGCCAGGGGACAGCCGCAGGCAGCAGCGTTGCGCAGGCCCTGCTGTCTGGGCACTGACCCTCTTCCCCAGGACAAAGGCCAGGGTGACGGTGCCCCAGGCTGGTGGCTCACGAGCAGGGGCAGGGCACAGCAGGATGGCGAGGGGGTGGCTCCTCCCTGCCTTGACTGCCCCCCGGGACAGGAGCTGCCTTCGTTCTGCCCGTGGCTGCCCCGGGAGCACCTGCCGCTGTGCCCAGTTTTGCCGCTTGAGGGGAGGACGGGCCATCCCTCGGGGATGCTGGGTCTGAAGGGGACAGAGCACTGGCGGTGGCCACCATGGGCTCTCTGGTCACAGAGAGTATGCCCCAGCGCGCAGGCCTGGAGCCCCCGGTGCGGCGGGGGCGGGGGTGGGGGTGGGGGTGCTGGTCGGGGGAGGGGCTGGCGCGAGGCGGGCTCACCTTCTGCCACAGGTTGGCCCCCGGGTCATACACGTACACCTTCTTGGTGTTGTCCCCGATGAGGTACAGCGCCCCGTGCAGGGCGGCACAGCGAGGCGACGACAGGTACTTGGGCAGGAAGGGGGAGGCGATCAGACTCCAGGCATCTGTGGGGGACACGGGCGCGGGGCGGCCTTCACCACAGGGGGCCGGGGAGGCGCCAGGCCTGTCTCAGCCCTGGGCCGGTGTCTCGGCCCCGCCCCCGGCCGGCGCCCACCTGTGACTGGGTTGTAGCACTGCAGGGCCAGTGCGTTGTACTTGCAGGCGCTGGAGCCCACCAGGTACAGGCGGCCCCGGCAGCCGGCCGCCGAGAAGTTGCTGACGTACTTGAGGGCCGGGCTCACGGGCGTCCAGCTGTCCGTGTAGGGGTCGTAGCTCTCCACCTCCACCACGTCCAGGGCGGTGCCTGTGGGGAGGGGAGGGCCGCAGGGCTGCAGGGGGCAGGCTTGCCCACGGGGACCCAGGGAGACCCCACCCCAGGGTGCGAGACTCCCTGCCACAGCCGCAGCAGGGGTGGGGCCTCCCTGGAGGAAGCGGCTCCAGGGGCACCGGTGGGGAGCGAGGCCCTGGCCCGAGCAGCAGCCCGCAGCCCCGTCCCTGAGGGAGCCTGCAGGTGACGGTGACAGGGACCTGGCCAGGGAGGACGGTGACGGGGACCTGCCGCCAGGGGAGGACGGTGACGGGGACCTGGCCAGGGAGGACGGTGACGGGGACCTGGCCGGGGAGGACGGTGACGGGGACCTGGCCGGGGGAGGACGGTGACGGGGACCTGGCCGGGGAGGATGGTAACGGGGACCTGGCCGGGGGAGGACGGTGACAGGGACCTGGCCGGGGAGGACGGTGACGGGGACCTGGCCGGGGGAGGACGGTGACGGGGACCTGCCGCCGGAGGAGGACGGTGACGGGGACCTGGCCGGGGAGGATGGTAACGGGGACCTGGCCGGGGGAGGACGGTGACGGGGACCTGGCCGGGGGAGGACGGTGACGGGGACCTGGCCGGGGGAGGACGGTGACGGGGACCTGGCCGGGGGAGGACGGTGACGGGGACCTGGCCGGGGGAGGACGGAGACGGGGACCTGCCGCCCGGGGAGGACGTGCCCTGCTGTTCTTGGGGACCCTGCTCTTAGGCTGGGGGTGGTTGGGCTTGGGGGAGCAGCCTCCCGCGGGGTCATCCCCTCCGGAGCTCCGGGGCCAAGGACACGGGTGGCCGTCCTCGCTGGTGGCCTGAGGCCCCAACTCCTGCCGGACGCTGTTCCGAGCCCCAGCGTCGCCCTGCTCATGTCTGAGGAGCCACGCCCAAGGCAGCAGCGGGGGGCAGCACTGCCGTGGCCCCCTGGAGGGTGTGGGGTGCAGGGGTGCATGGGGGCCTCACCGCCGATGGCGTAGATCTCCCCGTTGAGCGCAGCACTCGCGTGGTTTGTGCGCGCCTTCTGCATGGGCGCCACGGGCTTCCAGGCCGCCTCCTTCAGCGGGAAGCACCAGGCCTGGGTGGTCGACCACGTGTCCGTCTTGGTGCCCCGTGAGCCACCTGCGAGATGGGATCTGTCCACATGGGTGCTACCAGCCGGGGGCCTCGGGACCCGTGGGGCTCGAGGTCTGGCCCCTCCCCCATGCCCCGCCCCATGCACAAACTGGCTGCCAGGCCCCTGGGGGGCGCTCTAGGCCCGGTCCCTCCGCCCCCACAAAATGGGGCAACACCAGTGGTTCCAAAGCCCCGAGCATGGCAGGTCCGCCCCCCAGGGAGTCTGAGCGCGTGCGAACGCAGAAGTGGGAGACCCACCCCCGACACGCACCCCTCTGGGAGGCCCCGGCCACACCCCGGAGTTTAGCTTCCCTCGCTGGGGGTGCTCGCGGAGCCCCCAGCGCCCACCTGTCACGTAGATGTGGTTGTTGAGAGCCGCCAGGGAGAAGCCCCACTTGTGGTAGTCGGGGAAGTCGGGGAGCACCGTCCACCGCCCTGGCATGGGGAGAGCGAGGGCTCAGGTCCAAACCCCAGCCTCTGTTTGCCCATCTGCAGAGTGGGCGTAATCCTGGCCTCTCAGGGAGGCGTGGGGACATGGGACGGCACATGTGCCACACGGGAGCGGCTCAGGGGCTGGGACAGAGGCGACTCCGGCTGGTCTTTGTGGAATGCACGGGGTGAACCCAGCAGGAGGGAGAGGGCACTGTGACGGTGCAATTCCACGTCGGGGTGCCCAGGCACTGCCGCCTGCTCACGGGGCTCGGGGCGGGCACTGCGGGCAGGGACTGAGTGTCCCCCTGACTCATGTGTGTGTCACCCCAGGGTGGGGCTGTCCAGCGGCCATCAGGCCTTCACCTGCCAGCACCCCCCCTCATCGGGGGATCAGAGGCACAGCTGCTCCGTGCTGACGTCAGCCCCAAATCCCTGTGGGGCAGCCCCTGCCGGGGGCAGCCAGCCCGCTGGGGTGGACAGCGGCCAGCGGGCACCCGTGCCTCCCAGGAGCGTCCCCGGGGCCAGTGCAGCCCGGGGGGGGGGCTCCCGCCTTTGCCAAACGGGCAGAGGAGCCCACGTGCATCTGCGCGCAGGCCTGGCCTCAGCCCCCCCACCGAGGCCGAGAGAAGCGGGGACTGGCGCTCCGTGCCGGCCGGCCTGGAAGCCGGGCCTCACTGCCTGGGCTGTGCCCTTTCTCCCCCGGCCCAGGCCGGGCAGCCAGGCCGCCCTCCCCACGCAGCGCCGTCTGGCGTGGCAACCTTGACACCAGCCCCCAGGATATAGAAAAAGACCAGGGAGGGGCCGCCAGGTGTGGGAGGCGCGCAGGGCAAGGCCCGGACGGAGCGGCTACTCACGGGCCTTGGTGTCGTAGAAGGCGAAGTTCCCGGGGTGGGGCGCGGGCTCCTCCCCGCCCTCCTCGTCCTCCAGTGCCCGCCCCCCGACCACCACCAGCACCTCTTCCAGCTTCTGCGGGAGGGCGGGCAGCACCTGGGGACAGGAGCGCGGTCAGAGCAGCCAGCCACTGTCTCCCCAGCACCGGGGCCTCTGTGCGGCCCCTGGGTCGGGGGCCAGTGTGCGTGTGTGTGCACCCATGGGTGCACGTGTGCCCTGTGGCCAGCCTTGCCGTGGCTGGTGACGGCAGCAGAAGGGCCAGGCCAGGCTGCCCCTGCGCCCACCTTGGGGCTGACCCCCAGGACTGTCCCCAGTCTCCCCATGAGCCTCCCCTGCCCTGGGAGCCCCTGCGCCCCTGGCCCGCCCGCGGCAGGCTACACTGGGTGGCCCGGCCGGCTGGACCCCTGGAAAGCGTCCATGTGGAGCTGCTGCTCTGAGCCCCCAGGGTCCCCCACGCTCCACCCCGGTCCCTCCGGCACCAGCGATTGCGTGGACCACCTCGCAGGGGAAGGCCCCCAAGCCAGCCCAGCCCTAGCCGGGCCTCGCCGGTGGGCCTAGGGTCCTGCCCGCCATAGGCCGCCCTCGGCCCGAGATGCATTTTCATGACCAGATCTGACCCCGGAGGGGCCCCAGGAGCAGCGCACGGCAGCCGAGCCGCCATCCCTGGCTCTCTCAGCCACACCCGCGCCTGTCACCTCACCCACCGGGAGGTGCCTGCCCCCTGGGCCTGCTGTACCCTGGACATTCTGGAGCAGCTTCCTCTAGGCCTTCTTCCTGCGTGCTTTTCTTTCCTGTGCCTCCCGCTGAGCTCCTGTTCCTTCCCTAAGAGCCTGCCTCTTCCAGAGAGCCCTCCAGGACTACAGCCCCTGCCAGGAGCCCCCAGCCTCTGCCTTCAGGACAGGGTGTGGCACACATAGGGACACGTACTTGGGTGACACCTCAAGGATGCCCACTGCTTACCCACCCCCACGCAGGGGGAGCTCTCGGGCCCCTCTGCCTGCCCCCCCCCCGGGTGGGAGCCCCCCTGCCCCTCACTCACCTCCCCATGGCTCTGGGACAGCGCAGCCCGGCACGCCTCTGACGCCTGGATCAGCGGCTCCGTGGCCAGCAGCTGCTGCACGCAGGGCTTGGGCACCGCGTCCAGGCGCACCAGGCCCAGCAGCTCGGGCAGGTGAGCAGCCCGGGCCGGCGGATCGTGGCGCACCCAGCGCAGCAGGGCTTCGAGCCGGCTCTGCTCCGCCTGCACCTGCAGCAGGTCGCTGGCCAGGCAGGTGGCCAGCCGGTCCCGGGGCAGCTGCAGGAACTCGTCCTCGCGGGCCACGGCCTCGAAGTTCTCGCGCAGGAAGGCCCAGGCCTTGGCGGCCACTCCCAGCAGCCCCTGCTGCTCCCCGAACTCGCAGATGCCCAGGCAGTTGGTGGCGTCCAGCTGCTGCTGCAGGTAGCGGCCGCAGACCTTCTGCACGGCCGGGAAGTGCAGGCGGGCGGCCGTGCGCGTCAGCGCCTCCACGTTGGCCTGGGTGATGGTCAGCCGGCCCGTGTACACGAAGTCCACCAGCTGCCCCACCACGGCCGGCTCCACGTCCCGCAGCTCCACGCGCGCGGAGAAGCTCTCGGCGAAGTCGCCCGCGAACATGGCGTGGAAGTAGGGGCTGCTGAGGGCCAGGAGGCCGCGGTGGCAGGGCAGCTCCCGGCCGCCCACCAGCAGCGTGAGGTCGGCCAGCTTGGGCTGGGAGCGCAGCCGCTGGAGGCCGTCCAGCATGTCCTGGGCGTGCGAGGGCAGCCGGAAGTCCAGGTCGTCCACGGTGCGCACCATGCTGCCAGGGTTCGGGGCCTCCTGTTGGGGGGGGGATGGCAGCGCGAGCCAGGCGCCTGTCCGGCCTCCCCAGCCCTCGGGGGACCCCGGGAGCCCACAGGGACCTCCGACTCTGGGCTGCACCACACAGACCCCAGGGCCTGGGACCCCCAGCTCCCAACCCCCAAGAGGCCGCCTCCGTGCCAGACCCCTCGCGGCGGGGACATTTGAGGGGTTCCTGCTCCTCTGCCTGCTGCGACCTTGCTGGGTGACCTTGGGGGGCCCCAGTTCCCTCATCTGCTGATGGCTGGGGGGGCGTCAGGGGCTCAGACCCCAACCCCCACGGCCACGCGGGGCTCCCCGCAGGCTGGGTCTCTCGTCTCCGGCTTGCCCCACAGGAGCCCTGGCAGGTGGGCGCCACCCTCACTCCCTTTACTAGTGGGGAAACTGAGGCCCAGGTGGCTTGCGTCTCGCCCCACAGGTAGGAAGTGGTGAGGCTGGGATTTGAACTCAGAGCCCCTGTGTGACTCCTGCCGAGCGTAGCTGGTAGAGACGCAGCCAAAGCAACTTCCTGGAGGGAGTGCCCGCCCCCCAGTGTGCATCCCAGCATTCCTGGCGTCTGACCGCAGACGGCCCTGGGCAAACCCTCCTACCCCGACCGCGGAGAAGCAGCTTGTCCACCAGAGGGCGCCTTGCGGACCCCTCAGAGGGCAGGGGAAGCGGCCTGGGACACCGTGACAGCAGCAAGAGCAGGCCCCATCCCGGAGCCGGCGAGCGGTGGACACTGCGGCCCGGGATGGGGCCGGGCCCGGGAGGCCCTTCCGCTCCCAGCCTCCGCGCGGCAGGCGCCCACCTGGCCTGGGCTCGCAGCTGGCAGGGCGGCGGGGAAGGCGGCCCCAGTCTGAGCGTCCATCCCGTCTGCTGGGGCCTGTGCGCTGCGCTGTCCCTGGGCGCGGCCGCAGCCCCGCATTCCTGTCATTCTTGCGCTCCCTGGGGCAGTGGTGGCCAGCAGGCCAGGGAGGGGGTGCCCAGCTGCCCTCCCCAGGGGCCGGGTGCCTGCTGACATCCGCTGCCCTGCCCGGGGTCCTCGCCTAGGGAGGGGGTGTCTACAAGGTCTCCGTGCCTCCCTCCCCCACACCCCCGGCATCTGTTCGGCTGGGAGAGGAACAAAGAGCCCCAGGCCCGACCCTGCTCCGACCGGGACTGACCGGTGTGGCCCTGGCTGCTGACTGAGGCGTGGCCCGGCCCCCTGCCCACCCCCTCGCCAGAGCCCCCAGGGAACCATATTTGCTGTGCCCCTAGCCTACCCCAGGGCCAGGCTGGGTCTGGGGGCCCTCAAAGCACTCAGGCTGGGACCCCCAGCTCCCCCTCCCCCCAGCCCTCCCTCCCTGTGGCCCGCGCCCCCTCGGAGCCCCCGACTGTACCTCTCAGTGGGCTCGGAGCCTGTTGTGGACAGCAGACCAGAGAACAGGACTGGCCAGTCAGAGCGGGCGAGGGCCTGTGGTCTGGGCACCACGTGGGGAGCCAGGGGGTATTTTTAGCCACCAGTCTGCGTGGGGGGGTCCAGGGAGGAGGGAGGCGAGGCTCCGCCCAGGCTGTCTGCTCTGAAGGCCCCCGCTGGCCAGGCCACCCTCGGCGGGGGAGGCCTGAGGTCCTTCCCCGAGGACCAGGACAAGCTGGGCAAGGCGGGGCTCTGTCCCCCTGGGGAGACGGGCAGATGGGGCAGGGGAGCCTGTGTGGGCACCTGGGGCACGCGGAGACCCCAGCCCCTGTTGGACCCCGGACACCCGACAGGTGCTGGCCTGGGGGGCGGAGGTGGCCTCTGGTTCTTGGGCCAGAGGGAAAGGCAGCATCGTGGGTAGTGGCAGGCTGATCATGAAGTCTTTCCAAGCGGGGGCGGGGCGGTGGGGACCACCCTGGGGCAAGAGGGGTGCCCGGGCCCCCCGCCAAGCTGGTGCAGGGATGGGGGATCCCGGGCCGCCTTCCGGGGTATCACGACCACGGCGTGGCCCAGCCCTGCCCTGGAGGCCACACTCGACGTGAGTGCCAAAGATGGCGAAGAAATGGGTCATCTAAAAATACGGCCGCCGTGGCTCGGGGCCTGTGGCTCGGCGCTGGGCCCAGCAGCCACAGGGGCATCACCACCAGCCATGAGCGCGGCTGAGGGGCGCCTCCCGGCATGCCTCGGGCCAAGGGTCAGACACAGCGGCCTGGGGGCCTCACCTCTCTGCCCCTCTTCCCTCACCCACACAGGCCTCGTCAGGGAGGCCACTTCCAGGTGCAGCCCGGCCTCCCTGTGCCCCCTGGGCATTGGCTGTGCGTCCGGACCCCAGGGGCCTGCTTCGAGGTGTCTGGACAGCCAGGCGCCGGCTCACACGCTCCTGCCCCACCAGCCGCTGGCGCACCAGCCGGGAGCTGGGACCACGGTGCCCGCTCCTGCAGGCGCCGTCCTCGTGCACGTGCCACAGTGACCGTGAACCGACTGCAAGGGTGCAAAGTGCTTCCAGCCTCCCTTCCACTTGCTCCCCCAAACCCAGCGCAGCCGTGGCCAGCGCAGCCGTGGCCAGCCCTGCCGTGGCCAGCCCTGCCCCTGCTCGCTCAGCCCCAGGACTTCCTCCCAACTCTGGGGCTGCCTAGGGATGTCCTCAAGTGTCACGTGTCCAGCACCACCGTGGGATGGGAGCTGGAGCCGGGAACGGAGGGGCCGGGTTGTCCGCTGTCCCCGCTGCTGGCAGCACACACAGGGTTCATGCACTGGTCTGGGGGAAGCGAGGACAGGGGCTGCCGGCGGGCTGCTGTCACCGGGAGCTGGCTCTGGGCAGGCGCAGCGCTGTGCCAAGCCTGCAGGGGAGCGGGGACCCAGCGCCTCGGGCGAAACCCGACACCAGGGGCTCAGCTGGGATCCTCAGTGACACAGGCTCCCGGGGGTGCAGTTTTTAAAAATAAGCCGTCAGTTTCTGTTCAAAACGATAAAAATAATGCACGTTCATTTTGGAAAACATGGAAGACGTGAAGCACAAACCTCCCCCAGAGAAAGGCAACAGCCGTCAACAGAGGACGATGTCACCATGCGTGCTTGCGTGTGCGTGCGTGTGCCCGCTTGCATGCGTGTGTGCATACGTGCACAGAGTGAATGTGCATGCGTGTGCTCACATGCGTGTGTGTGTGCATACGTGCACATGTGTGCCTGTGTGTGTGTGTCCCCTCATCACGTGCTGCTCTGTCCTGGGCACTCCTGCTCTGGTCAGCATGTGAAACGCACTTTGCTTTTCACCTCAGTGGGGACACAGCTCACTTGCCGGAGCCGGAAGGGACGATGACAATGACGACGGCGTCACCTCTGCAGTCTCTGTCCCAGATCAGCCCGAGCAAAACCCTCACGTTAAAATGTGCAGTCATTTAAGAACAACCCAGGGACACTCGGCGCGGGGGCAGCCGTCGCCTCGCTGGCCCAGGCTGCCGGCACGGCCCGCACCGTCGGACGGCCACGTGCTCTGCTGGGCTGGCCAGCCTGGCCCAGCCACAACACCTCCTCCTCTTCTGAGAATTGTTGGGGCTCGGGGTGCCTGCTCGAGGTCTCCCCCCCCAAATGAGGGGGATTTCAAAGTGTTTGTGGAGAAATTGAATTAAGGAGTAAGTTTGTGTTGGTGCCGACAGCTGTGAGATCCGTGCACATTTTCCAGGACTCTCGGAGCCCCTCGCGTGTCCCGACCCTCTGGGCCTCCACCAGCCCCCGCCGAGCCCTGCCGCACCTGTCTGGGCTGTGAGGAGTCGCGTCTGTAGCCTGGGCGGTGGACCTGCCGGGCGCACTCGGGGTCGGGTGCAGCTTGCCCAGTGGGCGCCTGCTCCGCCGCGACCTCCCTGAACGACCAGCCTGGCTCGGCCCCCCGGGCCGGAGCAGGTGTCGGCGGCTGCGTGACCAGCGGCCTCCGCCTCGGTCTCCTGGAGCCACGCTCACCCCGAGCTGCGCCGGCTTCCTGCCCTGGTGCGCGCTCCAGGGTGGCCCCGCTGGAGGGTGTCCGGTCAGGTTGCACCAAACCTTTGTCCCAAGCGCAGTCACTTTTGGCTGGGCTGGGCAGGGCCCACGGCCCCCACCACACGCTCCAGGGCACCCCCGACACGCAGGCAGAGCAGGAGCTGGAGCTGCAACCTCCACTGCCAGTCACGTCACCCGTGTCACCCAGTCACGTCACCCCGTCACCCAGTCATGTCACCCAGTCACGTCACCCGTGTCACCCAGTCACGTCACCTGTGTCACCCAGTCATGTCACCCCTGTCACCCAGTCACATCACCCGTGTCACCCAGTCACGTCACCCCCGTCACCCAGTCATGTCACCTGTGTCACCCAGTCATGTCACCCCTGTCAGTCACATCACCCCGTCACCCAGTCACCTCACCCATGTCAGTCACGTCACCCCCGTCACCCAGTCACATCACCCGTGTTACCCAGTCACATCACCCAGTCACGTCACCCGTCACCCAGTCATGTCACCCCCGTCACCCAGTCACGTCACCCCTGTCGCCCAGTCACATCACCCCCGTCACCCAGTCACCTCACCCCGTCACCCAGTCACCTCACCCCTGTCGCCCAGTCACGTCACCTCTGTCGCCCAGTCACGTCACCCCCGTCACCCAGTCACATCACCTGTGTCACCCAGTCACATCACCCCTGTCACCCAGTCACATCACCCGTGTCGCCCGTCGGGAGTGCTGGCACGGCCCTGCACCTTATTCTAGGCGCATCGCGGGTGGGCGGGGCGGCCTGGAGGAGCTGGTGTCCCTGCTGCGTTCGCTCACTTTCTTTGTGTGACCCTCACCAAGCCCGCTGGGTGGCCTCAGGGTGCCGGGTGTGCACGCCCGTGGGCGGGGCCAGGGCCTCCTTGCTCCCGGGTGCTGCCGGCCCCTCGCTGAGGTCCAAGGCCTCCGGGGGCACAGAAAGGGGCTCCGTGGCCTCGGGGCCGATGGGACCACCGGCGGACAGGCAGCACGCAGGCCCTGCAGCCCGAGTGTGGCCACGCTGGCCCCGGCCTGCTCGGGCTCTCAGGCTGCTGAGCGAGCCATTTTCCCAGAATCCCCAGGGCCTCCACCTTACCCCTGCCCAGCAGCCCCCATCCCCAAGTCCCCCTGGGGCTCAGGAGCTGTGGGCTGCCCCCGGGCTGGGAACATGAGGCGTGGGGGCTGTGGAGGGGCTGCCCGAGCCTGGGGGGCGCCCTGAGCTGGCGAGAGGAGCCCCCTCCAACCCCGGGAGCGACGGGAGGTCAGGCTCTGGGCTCGCTGCCAACATCCGGCCGCCTCCCTTGCAGGGCCTTGGAACCCACTGTCATGCAAGGGGGCTCCAGGAGACACCGGGGTGTCCACTCTGACACTCCCACCTCAGGGCTCCCCAGTGCCCTGCCGGCCCGGGCAGTGGCTGTGCCCAGTGGACCCCTTCATCTTCCTCTGTTGGTTGCAGGTTACAGCCAAGAGCCAGGACCCCGACGACCAAGAGACGCCATCCGGGACGCTCTCGTGGGCACCCTGCGTGGCAGAACCTACCCTCTGGCTGGCTGAGATGCCCACGACCCCCAGTGGACACGGGGGACCTGTCCACGCCCTCCCAGGGCAGGCAGACCACTGACTCCCCGGTGCCCCGTACGGGCTCGGTGGGCCTGGGCTGCCGCCTGGCGCTCTGGCAGGGTGAGGGTCAGCCAGGCAGGGGGTCTTTAGCAGGTGCAGGCTCATTCGCAGCTCCGTGGCGATTCCAGCAGGAGGAATCCAGGGGAGCCGGCCCCTGGCCAGCCCACTGCAAGCGGGCCCTTGGAGGACAGCCACCAGGAACTGGCTGACCCCACTGCCCCGCAGGCCTGCCAGCCCTGACCGCCCAGTGCCTCTCCCGACTTCATATCTTCCTGGGAGCCCCTCCTCCTCGCTCTGACAGCGCCCAGGAACCTGCTCCAGAGGGGGCCTGTCCCTGCCCCAACTGCCTCTGCCCCACCCCCTCATTGCCCATCAAGGCCGGCTCACACTCGCAGCCCCTCCCCAGCGTTCCCTCGGCCCAGCCCTCCTGGACCCCGCAGGCTGGGTGGTGGCCCACCCTCCTGATGGCCACCGGGAGCCAGGGACAAGCCACACTGCCCAGCGAGTGTCCAGCTCATGTGATGCTGCACATAACCCCACGGCACCCCCTGCCCACGTGGGCGAGGGCTGCCCCAGGGACGGCCAAGTGCTCATCAAGGTGCAGCCCGTGTGTCCTGCCCTGCTGTGGGCTGTCCCTGCGGGCTGGCGGCTGGCCTCTGAGAGGGGGCACTGTCTGAGGACCGCACGCAGCCCGTCTGTCCTGTGGCCCTGGGAGGGGCTGGGCAGCTGCGGGCCGGGCAGCCACATCTCTGGAGTGCCCCAGAGCAGGGTCCCCTCCCAGCGGCCCTCTCCTGGCCTGGAGAACCAGGCAGCCCGGCCCTGTCTGGTCTGACCAGAGGCCCATTGAATCCTGTCCCCTCCACTGTCCCCGGACGGGAAAGAGAAGTGTGGGAGGGGCCGGGCTGTGGCCCAAGTCACCAAGACAGGCGGTGGCAGGAGGGCCCGGGGCGGCCGGCCCAGGCTCCGCTGGACAGTGGAAGGCAGACTGAGCCTCAGGGCCAGCAGCAGGGAACCGACGGACAGGGCGCCGGGCAGTGCAGGGCAGGGGAGGGAGGGGAGCCGGAGGAGGCTGGCGTCCCAGCTGCCCAGGGGACGGCCCCAGAGGGCCAGGCTGGGATGGCAGCCCCTGGCCGCAGTGTGGACACGGGGAGCGAGGCAGTGTGAGCCGGGTGGGTGGCTGAGCCCCCGCCCAGAGGACCTTGTGAGCGGGCCCCGGCCAGCCTTGCCCTGGCCACCAGGCGAGAGAAAGGAGGAGAGCCCCAGTCAGTCCCCGAAGCTGAACATCTCAGCCTCCTTCTCCTTCCAGAAGGCGAAGCTCCGGTCGATGTAGCCGCAGATGTCCTCGCTGCTGAAGCTGCCCCACCGCGAGCCGGAGCCCAGCCACCGAGCTGCCGGCTCGGGGCCCGGCGCCGGCGGGCGAGGCCCCAGCGGAGTCAGGCTGGACTTGCGGCCCGGCTCCGAGTCCCAGGCGGGGCCCCGGCCGGAGCCGAAGAAGCGGGCTTTGATGTCCTCGAAGCCGTCGGTCCAGGCGCGGCGGCCGGCGGCCACCTCGTCGATCACGGCCTTGTGGAAGGCTCGCACCGCCTCCCAGCCGTGGGCGCCCAGGTGCTCGAAGACCTCGAAGCAGAGCAGGTGGCGCGTCTTGCGCTCGTCGGCCGGCAGGTCGCACTCCAGGAGCTGGAAGTAGCCCAGCATGAAGAGGTCCAGCGAGAGGCTGCCGTAGGGCACGGGTGCCCCGTCCACGTGGGGCAGGAACTGCTCGGGGGACAGGGGCCCGCGGGGCTGCCGGCTCAGCCGCCGCAGCTGCCGCGCCGGCACGTGCGCCATGATGGCTTTCCAGGTGCCCAGCAGGTGGGTTATGATGCCCCGCTGCTGCCACAGGTGGCTGAGCCGGGGCTCGCGGGGGCCCCCGGCCGCGCGGCGGGCCTCCAGGGTCCTGCAGGCCGCGGCCTTGAGGGCCGGCGTGTTGGCCGACCTCTTCCAGTGGCTCAGGAAGAGCGTGACGATGCGCTCCTTGCGCAGGCTGGCCAGGTCCGGGCCGGGAGCCGCGCCCACCTCCGACGCCGCCTCCTCGCAGCTGATGCCCGAATCGCTGGCCTCCTCTGCGTCGGCCGGTCCACCCTGGGGCTGGGGCGGGGGCGGGGCCGCCCAGCAGCCTCGGGGGCACTGCCCAGGCACGGCTCCCGGCTCACAGGGGCCTGGGGCTGAGGCGCAGGGCGGGCCGGGCGCTGACTCAAAGTTGCCACGCAGCGTGTGCACGGAGACGCCCCACTCCTGGATCTCGCGCTGGGCCTCGCTTCGAGGGGCGCCGGCCGGGGTCTCCCTAGGCGGGGGCTGCGGGAGCTGCGGGGGCTGGGGGCCCGGCGTCTCCTCGGCCTGCACCAGCCCGTTCACGCCCTTCAGCAGCAGGGACAGGCTGCGCACCAGGCGGCCAGCGTGGTTGCACCAGAAGGGCAGGGGCTGCCCGCCGGGCGCGGCCTCCGCGGGGCCCTGGAGCACACCGGCCAGGGCCGGGGCCTGCTCGCCCTCGGCGCCGGGCGCCCGGGGCAGGAAGTGGCTGTTGACGGTGATGCTGACCAGGGGCTCGGGCAGCAGGGCCTGCAGCTCGGCCGCCAGCCGGCCCAGCTGGCTCTCATACTCCTGGCAGCGGCGCCGCAGCTGCAGGTCCGCGATCTGCTTCTCCAGGTGCAGCAGGTCGTCCTCGGTCAGCAGCTCCCCGAAGGGGCCCAGGATGGCCTGGTGCGTCTGCGAGTACCGCCACGCCGCCTGCTGCGCGGGGCCCGGGCCCCCGCCGCTGTCCTGGGCGCGGGAGGGGCGGGGTCACACACAGGACAGGGCGAGCTCCTGCCGGACACCAGCTGGCCCGCTTTGCCCTCTTGGAAGCGGGGCGGGGAGGGGGCTCTGCTCTGCCCCCCCTCCCCACATCAGCTCAGGCTCCATCCTCAGCCCCCTCCCAGCCCCTTCCCGCCCACTCCCTGCAGGCTGGGCAGCCCCAGACACTCGGTGTGCCCTGCCCCCCTGCCCCTGCCCCCCAGCAGCACCAGCTGGGCTGTGACGCAGCCAGAACCCCCAATCCCTTCAGCCCGCCTGCCTCTGTTTCCTTCCCCAGGTGCCAGGCATCTCCGCAGGTCCTTGGGGCCCTGCCCACCCTCGCCTTGCCCAGCCCTCAACCCCCGGGGCTCTCAGCCCCGCTGGCCGGGCCAGGCTGGAGGCGTTAGCCCCTGTGAGCAGGTGAGGAGCAGGCCTGTGCCTCTGAGTGAACTCTGTGTTCACTGTGACTGCGTGTGGCTGGAGCCATGGCGCTGGCAGGACAGCTCCAGAGAGGGCCGCGGGACACGTGGCTGGGGCTCCAGGGTCACAGGCAGGAGCCACCGCCCTCTGCAGCCAGAGGGGGCTGCCGGGATCCAAGCCGACACAGCCCTGCTCTGCTCAGGTGCTCGCCACTGCCAGCTTCCACTGCCACCTCCCCCCACCTGGGACACCAGCTCAGCCCGCCTCGGGACACCTGCTCACCCCTGCCTCGGGACACCTGCTCAGCCCCGCCTCAGGACACCAGCTCAGCCCTGCCTCGGGACACCTGCTGGCCTGAGCCCCTCCCTCATTTCTTCTGCCTCCAGCTCAGGGTCACGGGCACGGCGGGCACCAGCCCTCCCGCACACACCGGGTGCACCTGCCACCTGTCTTCCTGCTGCAGAGTGCCAGGCGAGAACAGCGCCTGGTCCTGGTGGGCAGCTGTGTGAACTCCGTAGGTGGGAGGACGGTGGGACTGGGATCCTGGCCCCTGAAGCTCAGGACCCCAGACCACGTTTAGCCTCCTTGTGTGGCACAAGACAGAGCTGAGCCTTGGAGGGGCAGGGAGTGAGCGCTGGGGCACAGGTCTGGGCTGGGCACCCCCCACTTCCACCTGCTGGGACACGGTCTCTGCCGCCTGCCCTGCCCCCGCCTCACGCTGCCCCTCTGCAGGCCCCACCTGGGCCTGGGGCTCCGGGTCGGCGCCCAGGCGCGCCTGTAGCTTCCGCACCATCACCTGCCGCTTCCACTCGGGGATGGGCTGGCCGTGCTCGTCCTGCGTGGGCACCAACCCGTCGAGGTCACCAGAGGGCAGTTCGTCTAGCTGCAGCCCGGCCAGGCCTTCGGGGACGTCCCTCGCTGCCATCTCTGGCCCCTGTGCAGAAAGGGGTCTGGTCATAGGCGCCCCCAGGGGAGGGCAGGCCCACCGGGTGGGGTTGGGGGCGTGGCCCGGTGCAGGGCACCCAAACAGGGAGTTGGGGAGCAGGGGCAGTGGCCCCTCCTGCAGGGGCTGCGCCTCTGCTGTCACAGTGGCTTCCAGGGGGCACAGCCGTCTCTGAGTTCAAGGTCGTGGGGGCTGGGCAGTCAGACTCCGGGACGATGGACAAGGACCTGAGTTTCCTGTGATGGGCGACAGCTGTGGCCACCCCACTTTCCTGCCCCTCAGAATTCGGGGCACCAGCAGGCGCCACCCAGGCTGCAGGCCTGGGGCCATGTCCAAGGACACAGGACAGGCTGGCTGGACGTGGTGGAGGCGGGGACGCACCGTGGAGGCGGCCAGGGCACTGGTGGTGACCCTCGGCGGGGCTACGCAGGTTGTCTGCTCCCTCGGTGGGGGCTGGGCCGGCCAGGTTGGGCTGAGAGACGCGGCTGCAGAGAGGAAGGGGGATGGAGTTGCGGGGCTTCCAACGAGGCCGAGGTGACAGGGCTGGAGGCCCCCGGCCCTCCTGCCGGCGTGCGGGGCTCACAGCTCAAGACCCAACCAGCCCTGCCCAGGAGGCCCCCGGCCCTGCCCAGCCCGTCATCCTGGGCCTCCTTCCTGGGGGACATCATGAGTCCACGCCAGGCCCCCTCGTCCGTCCCACAGGCCCTCCCTGGCCCCCTGCAGGCTGGAAGGAGCTGGGGAGGGCAGGGGGCCTGGAGGTTCAGATGCAGTGCAGCCCAGGCAACCCCACACGGTCACCTCCTCGCTGCCTCCCGTGCCCCTGCACACAAGACACACACACCCGTGCCCCAACCCCGAGCCAGAAACACACGGACACACACACACATACACACACACACACACCTGTGCCCCAACCCCGAGCCAGAAAAACACAGACACACACACATGCACACAATATCACATGGCCACACATGTGCGCCCCACACGGACACTCCCACAAGGACCCCACGACTCACGGCTGGGGCTCCTGACACCTGAGCCCCCTCCTTCCTCCTCCAGGGAGTGCCTGGCAGCGGACAGCGGAGGTGGCGGGAACGGCGGGGGCGGGGGCGCCACGAGCAGGGGCACCTGCTGGGGGTGGGCGGCCTGGTCAGCAGGAGGGCTCCGTCCAGCTCTGCCAGGCAGGGGTGAGGCAGGCGGGCGAGCCAGGGAGCTGTGTGGCTCAGGCAGGGCTGGGGGACTGGCGAGGGCAGCCCAGCCCCGCGGTCCCCTCGGCTCCCCGCACGTCCGGAGCACCTGTTTGAGGGCAGACCCACCACCTCCAGCAGGAGACCCCTCCCACGGCCGGGTCTGGCTTGTGCTCCTCTCTGTGGCCCTATGAGGACACCTGGCAATAGGGACAAGAGGCACCACGCCCTGCCCCTGCCCTCCACGCCTGGCCGGGGCCACCTGCCCTGTCCTCAGACCCTGACCGCTGGACAGCCACAGAGAGCCCTTCATCTGAGCCCTGCTCGGCTGCACACTGGAGTCTGACCCAGGGGGGCTGCAGCTCTTGTCTGGGCCAGGCCGTGGAGCCAGCTGAGGTGAGCAGGCGCCTGCCCGCCTCCACCTGGTTCTGAGCTGGTTCTGGCCCGAGACTTGGAGTCTGGCTTGGCCCTGTCTTGGGTGCACGCTTGGGCTCCTGGCCATGCCCCCAACACCCGTGTCTCCAGGCAGCACAGCCACAGGCTGCCATGTCCCCTCTGGGCACACCCACCCTGCCCACCAGGGCAGAGCCGGAGGAGGCCGACATCTCCCACGGGTGCTCATGGGCTCCCCGAGGGCTGCAGAGGACCCAGCTGGACTCTGCGTGTGTGGCCAGGGCCCACGCTGCGGCTCAGCTTAGCACTCTGCTGCTGAACCCTCGCTGAGCCGGAGCCCGGACCAGTCTCCCGCCGGGGCTAGCCCTGGGCCTCCCCAGCCTCCCTCTCCCACCTCCCAGCATGAGCGCGCACGGCCCCTCTGCCGGATGCTGGCCGGGATCCTCTGCCCACCGGGGTACAGGTTGGGGAGCACAGCCTGAAACCGCCTGCCGCCCCACACACCTCACTCCTGGACTCTGCGCCGACAGCCCAGCAGCCCTGGCACGCGCAGGTTGGGAGCCGGTGCAGGGCTCAGAGCTCGGGAGCTGGGAGGGCGGGCGGGGGCTGCTGAGGGGGCCGCCCCCAGCAGGAGGTGTCATATGAATATTTAAAGGACCCAGTGTCAAGTGGCCAGGCGGGCTGGGCAGGTGTGGGATTCCCTTACCACCTGCCTTAAGCCTCCATGGGGTAGGGCTAGGGCCAGGGGAGTGGGCCCTGGGTGGGGAGGGGCCGAGATCCCTGGGCCTCATGGGAACAAAGAACGCCTGTAGGAACCCCCGCCCCACCCACCCCACCACCGCTCCCTGGGCACAGCTGGGCAGACCGAGGCCCAGCGAGGGCGAGGGCGAGGGCCCCCGAGGCCCCCAGCTGGGCTGCCGTAGGGCTGGAGTCAGACACTGAGGAGAGGCCGCAGCCCAGGGCTCCGTGGGCTCCGTGCGTGGATGTACCCGCCACTCTCTCCCCTCCGTCCCAGGACAACAAGCCCTGGCGGCCTTCACGGCCATTCTCAGGGCTGTGTGCAGGGAGCTGCCCGGCAGGACGGAGCCCACGATGGGCACAGGACGCATGCTCACTGCCGTGCCGCGAGAACGCCCCTGCTCCCCAGGCCAGCAGAGGGCAGGCTGGCCGAGGATGGAGCCGAACCCCAGAACAGATGGGCACGGCCGGAGAAGCTGGACACGAGGCCCCGGGCGGCCCCTCACCCGCAGGACACAGCTGGGGGCCTGGTGGGCCCTCCACCCTCCACCCTCCCCAAGTGAGATGTGGGGCCGCCTCGCTCCTGTGGCCCCGGGGAGAGGCAGGAGGTTGGGGGGCTCCCTGGAGCACCTGCAGGCTGCCCTGCTGAGTCCCTGGGGCCTCGCCAGCGAGTGGCTGGGAAAACGAGGGACCGCATGCGCACCGGGCCTGGCCGAGGGGGGACACCCTCGCCCCTGTCGTCATCGCTGGCTTTGTGAGGGCCTCTGAATGACAGGAGCGGAGTCGGCTGCGCTGTTTCCCAACCCCCGCACGAGGCGAGTCCACGCGGTCGGGAGCGGCAGGTGTCAGGGTCTCGTCCCTGGCGTCCTGCAGCTGGCCACGCGCTGCCCCAAGCCCGGCATGGACAGGGCCCTGAGGCGGCCGCTGCCCGCTGTGCTCCTGGGGAGATCTGAGCAGCGCTGCCGGCCCCATGCATTATACATGGAGGGCGGCCGTGGGCAGTCGGGCTACAGGGCTGTAATGCACCCGGCCAGAAAATCATGACCCAGAGACGAGAGCCGGACACCCAGCGCGCGGCTGAGATTCCGTTACTGGTGGCAGCCCGGGCTCCACACTGCCCAGGGAGTCCTTGGCTCTCTCGGGCCTCCGTTTCCCCATCTGTAAAATGAGGGGGTCCGAGGGCCCAGCCAGGGCAGGCACCTCACTCACTCTCAAAGCAAAAGCTCTGTGGTCCCACTCTACAGACAAGAAGACTGAGGCTGAGAGGCACTCAGAAGCAGTCAGCCAGCTCTGAACCAGCTGGGCACGGGCTCAGAGGTGAGGGTGGGGATGAGCAGGTCGGCCCCGGTGCCTGGGAGGTGCTGGGGACTCGACGTCCGCGTGTGGGGGCTACACTGTGTCACCGCCGCAGCCCGGTGCCTGGTGCGTGGCTGCCCGGCCAGCCCAGGTCAGTGAGGCTGTGCAGAGCGAGGCCTGGCTTTGCTGAGCCCCGAGAGCTGCTCCCAGCTGGGCCACGAGACAGATACGTGGAGGGCAACCCCGGAGGCGCCAATGGTCCAGCCTCAGTCCCCAAGCCGCCAATGGTCCAGCCTCAGTCCCCAAGCCGCCTCTCTCGACACCCGCGCGTCCTTGAGGAGGGGGCACAGACCCAGGCTGGGTGTCAGCGGACAAGGACGGATTCCAAGGCCGACGTGAGTAGAGGCCAGCGCCGGCGACCTCTGCGTATCACGTTTCCATCAATACTGCATCAGGCGGCTCACCTACCTGCCCGGCCCGCAGCTGCCGGCCTGCCCTCTTGCTGAGCAGAGGCGGCCGAACCCGAGGCAGGTGGCCTGTGGGGACAGCCCGGGCAGTAGGGGAGGCTGGCACCCCTGCCGTCACTCGTACTTGCTGAGGGAGAGGCAGACGTGGCTGCAGGCGTTGACCTGCGTGCCTAGAGGCTCCAGTGAGCCCCAAGGCCGAGGGTCCGGTGGCGGGAGCTGAAGGGGCACCCCGATGGGCAGGAAGGGGCTGCAGTGGGAGAGGAGGGCACACCCAATGTGACTTGTCCCCACCTCGGGGGAGGCGGCCCTGACGCCGTGAAAGCCAGGACGGAGAGACCCCAGGTGCCCGGGGTCCCGGCTGTCGGCTGCCGTCGCGCCGAGGTCTGAGTGGGTGACTGTGACCCCACCTGGACACAAAGCCTCGGCCACAGGCGGGACAGGGCCAGGCGCCTGCTAGCCGGTGCTGGTGGGGGTGAGGCCGCTGGCAGACTGGCTGGCTGCCCACCTCCTAGTCCGAGCTGCCATCCCGGGCAGGGGGACAGACAGGCACCCAGAAAAGGCCCCACAGCAGACCCAGGAGGCCAGCGTGAGGGCAGGGTGCCGGGCCCGTCACAAGCTCGTGGCTGTGAGCCTGTGGTCTGCACCGAAAGCCGGCCGAGTGCCACCAACTTCTCGAGCCCACGGCAGGGCGGCCTTCCCCTGCGCAGTGGCCGGTGGGGCCCGAGTTCCTGCTCCGGTGAGAGGCTCGCTTCTGGGCTCCTGTGCCAGCACGGCCCAGGGCACCGACGCCTCCCCAGGGGCCCCTGTGCCGCCCCAAACTGCAGCAGGCCTGGTGTGGGTTTCGGCTGGTGGCCCTCAAGGGAAGAGGGGGTGCAGCAGCCCCTAGGGGCAGCCAGGGCTGAGGCCAGGGCCCAGCAGTGGGGCAGGCAGCGACCCCAGGGCTTCTTGAAAGGAGTGTGGCCCGCGCTGTGGTGAGTGGGGACGGACCATCCCAGTGGTGGCCCAGGGCTCGGACAGCGGGGGCACGGCCTCCGACCATCCCAGTGGTGCCCCAGGGCTCGGACAGCGGGGGCACGGCCTCCACCACACCACCAGCCACCCGGTCCTGGCCATCGCCTGCTCTGCCCACCGCCAGGCGCCTGGCCCTCCTCCCTTGCTCTGCTCTGCCATCCCTTCACCAAGCACGCGAGGAGCCCGGTCGTGTGCTGGGGCTGGCACGGGCAGGAGAGATGGCGTCCTTACGGATGGGGGTGGTGGGTGGGCGCGAGGAAGCACGAGGCCAGGAGTCACGTGATGAGCTGTCCCCCCGCCTCACCCCTGCTGCACCAGGCTGCCCGCCGCTGAGGCCACCTCGGCTGGGGCCTGGCCCTGGAGCTGTGGTTTCTGGGGCCCAGGTGATGGGTGTGACTTGGTCAAGTTCCAGCCACAGCCAGATCCTGGCATAGCCTGGCCACAGCCTCTGTCACAGCCCCATCAAGACCCTGTCACAGCCCTATCATGAGTGTCACAGCCCTATCGTGAGTGTCACAGCCCCCACACCCCCTGCCATAGACCCCACCACAGCCTGGCCTCAGCACCTGCCGGCAGCCGGTGGCGCTGGCTCCCTCTATCCTGCCCCGGGCCCTGTTCGTGGCGTCACGTGGGGCTCGGTGTGGGCCCAGGCCTTCCTTCCACCCTCCGGGACAGATGGGACCCTTACCGGCTGGGCCATCTCCCGCAGGAACTGGGCACACTCGCGGTGTCCGTGGTACTCGGCCAGGTCCGCCGCGGTGTAGCCGTCCTCGTCCTGCAGGGAGGGGTCCACGCGGTGGGAGACCAAGGTCTGGCAGCACTGCGGGAGGAGACACGGTGGGAGACAGGCGGAGGCTCAGGGCTGCACAGCCTCGCCCACAGCCACGCAGCACAGGGGCCTGCTGCCCCACCGGCTCCCGCCCAGGGGCTGGCTCTCCCGGGAGGGCAGCGCCCGCCCACCCTCACCACCCAGGCTTCCAGTGCGAGCGGCTGCCGTTCGTTCCCACAGCCACTCTCAGAGCTGTGTGTCCCTCAGTGCAGCCCTGGGCTGGCGAGCCCCGCCCCTGACCACACCCAGGACTCCAGGCCCTCCTCCCCCTACCCAGACCCTGGCCTGGAGGCGAGGAGGCATGGACTGTGGGGTCCTCACTGCCCCAGGCCCAGGCAGCTCCCTGAGGCTTCCTCAGTTCTCCCTCCCTCCCTCCATCACTCCCTCACTCCCTTTTGCTCTGCCTTTCAAATGAATTAAAAAAAAAAAAAACTTTAAAAAACAAGCAACTCTGTGTGACCAAAATTTCCCAAATTTTGGTCCTAATTCATGGCATAACCTAAAAACCAAAATCCAACCAGGATGAAATAAAAAAGGGATATTACAGGCCAAGTTTACTCAAGAAAAATAGGCCAGGACCAGTGCTGTGGCGTAGCGGGTAAAGCCGCCACCTGCAGTACCGGCATCCCATATAGGCGCCGGCTCTTGTCCCAGCTGTTCCTCTTCCATCCAGCTCTCTGCTGTGGCCTGGGAAAGCAGTAGAAGATGGCCCAAGTGCTTGGGCTCCTGCACCCACGTGGGAGACCCAGAAGAAGCTCCTGGCTCCTGGCTTTGGATCGGCACAGCTCCGGCTATTGCGGCCACCTGGGGCGTGAACCAGCAGATGGAAGACCTCTCTCTCTGTCTCTCTGTCTCTACCTCTCTCTCTCTCTCTCTGCCTCTGATTCTGTGTAACTCTGCCTTTCAAATAAATAAATAAATCTTTTTTTTTTAAAAAAAGAATAAATAGACCAAAATCCCCAACAAAACATTAGCAAGTTAAGTTGAACTACACAGAAGGAGCGCTAACTATGCCGTGACCAAGTGGGATTTACCCCAGGAATGCCAGGCGGCTTAACCGGTAAGAAGTAATGGGGTGAGTGCAGCGATTCTACTGGGTTCAGCGGGGCCAGCATGAGCCGTAGGGGTCAAGCTGCCACCTGCCGCTGGGGGGGGGGAGCACCCGAACACTCACGAATGCTCAGTGGGTGCAGAAGGGACGCTGGTCTCCCACACGGTGGAGCGCCAGCCTGAGTGACAGAAGCGTCACGAGGTCGGGGACTGCAGGATCCCACCCCCGCGAGGGCGCACGAGGCGGCAGATCCAGACGGGAAGTAGCACGGCTGGGAGGGTCGGGTGCGTGGGGGGGGGGCAGAACTCCAGCTCTGTGAGCAGGGCAGGCTCTGGGGATCAGCTGCGGCATGAACGCACCTGGCACCCCCAAAACTGCACGCAGAGAACAGTGACGGCAGCAAACGCAGGGGACCTTTTAGTATAACCAACAATTTTAAAAGCCAAAATCAATGTAATTCATACCACTCTAAGACAAAGACTGATGCAGCAAAATACAACACGCACTGAGCCCCTCTGGGGGCTGCTAGGCACCGAGCCATTGCTTGTTTTAAACGTTTATCTGAGAGGCAGAGACATACAGAGGTCTCCTGTCTGCTGGCTCAATCCCCAGCTGCCTGCACTGGCCAGGGGTGGGTGAGGCTGAGGCCAGGAGCTGTGGACTCAACCTGCTTCTCCCATGTGGGTGGCAGGGCCCCAGACACTGGAGCCACCCCTGCTGCCTCTCAGGGCGCACGCTAGCAGGGAGCTGCAACGGAGATGGAGTCAGGGGCTGAAGCCCGCACCCTGACGTGGGAGATGGAGTCAGGGGCTGAAGCCCGCACCCTGACATGGGAGATGGAGTCAGGGGCTGAAGCCGGCACCCTGACGTGGGAGATGGAGTCAGGGGCTGAAGCCCGCACCCTGACATGGGAGATGGAGTCAGGGGCTGAACCCGGCACCCTGACGTGGGAGATGGAGTCAGGGGCTGAACCCGGCACCCTGACGTGGGAGATGCCAAGTGCTCCCCCTTGTTTTCTAAAGTGGGGGAGGACCTGTCCCAGCCAAGAGGGTCCAAGGAGGTGTGGCAGCTGAATGCATTGTGGGCTTCTGGGACAGAGAAGGGGTGGTGGTTAAGGGCCTCTGAACAAGTGGGCCTCAGCTGGTAACACTGTGTCAGCTGGGGATCAGTACCAGGCAGAATTCCTGAGTCATTAAGGAGAGGAGGGAAGGGTGTGGGGCACTGGGAACTTCTCAACTTTTCTACAAGCCCAAAACCACTGAAAAGGTTCCTTTTTTTTCCTTTAAATAAAAATGTATTTTATCTCATCTTTTTGAAAAGCATAGTGACAGAGAGAGGAGGGGTGGATTTTCCATCTGCTGGTTCATTCCCCAAACGCCTGCAAAAACCAGCGCTGGGCGGAGCCAAAGCCAGGAGCCGGGAGCTCCATCCGGGCAGTCGGCAGAGGCCAGGCACGGAGCCGCCATCTCTACCTCCCAGGTGCAGCAGCAGGAAGCTGGGTAGGCAGTGTAGGGCCAGCACTGGAACGGGCGCTCTGGTAGGGACGCGGCGTCCCAAGCTGTGGCTTAACACACGGCACCACAACACCTCCCATAAACCGTTCTCCAATAAGAATTTACTCTAAAATGTGTGTTGGGGTGCGGGGGTGGGGGCAGCACCCAGCATTTCCCGGCAAAGCCCACCCCTGGGACTGTTCAGGGACTGTGGGCAGCACACGGCCGGGGGCTGGGCAGCAGACAGGCGGCGGTCGCGGCTGACCGCGGGGAGTTCCTGTGCGTTATTCTGGGCGCGGTCACGCTTTGAGGCCGTGATCTCGGAGCAGTTCCCACCTTGGACATCTCTGCTGAGGACAAGGACAAGCCGTCCTCCACGCGCTCCTGGGACAGCTCGGCGTGGGTCCCACAGTTTTCTGCACCCAAATGAACTCACCTTCCGAACCCGCATCCCATCACCTCCCCAAGTCCCTCACGCTCGGGGCACGAGAACGCGGCTCCCTGCTTCCCTCCTGGGGCAGCTTCCGCGTTCCGTGGACCATTTAAGAGGACGAAGCCCTGGGCTCGGAGGCGCCGTGGGTTTCTCTCCCCACTGAGGGAGGGGCGAGCCAGTGAAACTCTCGGCTCCTACAGAGTATGTCACTTGAAAACAGATTTTGCTGCTTCAGTGAACACGTGTGAGAACCCTGCCCCTGCCCCCACTCAGGAGGCCCAGCTGGGTCCCCCGGGAGGCTGCCTGGAGCCGCAGAGCACTGGGCTCAGAGCCCTTCCTGCCGCCAGCTGCCCGTGGGGCCGCTCTTCCCGCCCCGGGCACCCACTCCTGGACTCTTCCTTTGTCACTTAGCAGGACAGGGGCAGGGGACAGAGCTGGAGGGGCCGAGCTGGGGCTGTGAGCTGTGCAGGGCTGAGGGGTGAGGGCGGCTCAGCCTGAGGGTGGGCAGTCAGGGAAAGACCACCCCCACCCTGGCGCTGCTGCGGGCTAGGATCCCAGCCCCGGCATACCATGTGTCAAAGGGGAGTGGCGACTGCTGGGCGCGTTGACAAGTGCCTGCCCTACCTCCGTGTGCCCGTTCTCTGCGGCGTCGTGGAGGGGGGTCCCGCCCCAGGAGTCTCTCAGGATGGGGGCGCCCATCAGCAGGAGCCGGTCCAGGATGGGCGTGTGGCCACCGCGAGCCGCAAAGTGCAGGGCCGTGGCCCCCTCGTTGTCCCGCGCCGTCAGCCCAACGTCGGTGAACGTGACCTGGGGAAGCAGGCGCCAGAGGCTGGACATTGGGTGCCGGCTCTGGGGAGGAGGGGCCGGAGGGAGGGGAGCCCAGTGTGGAGGTGAGTGTGGCCTTCGGGCAGGGCAGGGCTGGCTTACATGTGCCCTGGGCACGGCCCTGTAGCCCCAGGGCAGCGTGTCACCTACGGCCAGCATGGGTGACACGAGCAGCAATGATTTGGAGACCCCATGGTCCCCGGTCTCAAACCAAGGGTCATGTCCCACAGACAAACACCGCCCGTGGCTCCTGAGGACAGTAGGGCAGCTGGGGGGACCCCAATAGGCTCAGGGCAGCACCTCAGCCCTGAACTGGGCTCCAGCGAGGGCGTTTTGTGGGAGAAGGGCTGCGGGCCGGGAGCTGGGGACCCCAACGAGTGCCAGGCAAGCCCCCAACTCCCGTAGCCCCCAGGTCCTGCCCCGCGGCACCCAGCTTCTCGGGGTGTCAGAACCAACACCCACACCGGGCCTTCAGGCCAACTCTCTGGCTCACGTGCAGCGACAGCCATTGGCCCAGCTCTGCCAGGGAGACGCGGCGCTGCCGGATCGATCCTGCCTCCCTGACGGAGCAGTGGACGGGTGTGTGGCCGTGGCATCTCCTCACACAGGGCAGGCCGTGGGCATGGTGGGAGTGTCGCGCACATTAATGACTGACCCCTACACTAACGTGCTTGCGAGGGCCAGGATAGTGGCCTGGGCATGAGGTCCTCCCCAGGCAGCCCTGGCCTTTTCTGGCCCCAACCCCTCTCCCCAGGACAGGTCACTCAAGCCTCGGTGGAGGCCCCCGCTCCCTGCCAGCACCTCGACCCTCGGGGCTGCTGCTGTGTCCCCTGCACAGCCCGCGGCTCGAGTCTGTCCACGTGGCCAGCGATGGCAGCACGGGAATGAGGCACTGGAGGACTGAGTGGGGGCAGGGCCCGCACAGGTGAGTGCCAGGGCGGCCGGCAGCCCCGCCGGACAGCATCCTGGGGCCGGGGCAGGCCTCGCTCTGCCTGCGTTGGTTCACCCATCCAGTGAGCACCTCCTGAGCCCGACTGTGGGCCCGGCACTGGGAGTGCAGCAGATGGACAAGGCCCCTGTCCTCACAGAGCTCCTGGGACCACACTGCAGGGTGGACAGAGACAGCGCCCAGGCAGAGTCAGGCGCTGGCTTTGTGGAGGACGCCTGGGAGCTGGTGCCAGCCACAGGGTGCGGACATGCAAAGGCCCTGAGGCAGCAGTGAGCTGAGGAAGAGCCGGCTCCACGGGAGGAGGGGACTCAGGAGAGGAGCCCCATGTGCCGTGGGGGTCTCAGTGGAAATGGAGCTCCTCTGGAATGACAGGGTGACTCAGCCCTCCACAGCAGCTTCCGTGGAAGGCACCCTCAGGAGAGGAGCCTGTCCTCCCTGCCTCCTCCACCCCCAGGCCCCGGCCAGACTCTTCTGCCTTCGCGTGAGCTGCGCTTCCTTCTGGAAGCTTGCTCTGGGCCCACTTGCCCTGCCCTCGTCCGAGCGGCCCTCCCCGCTCCTGTCTCCTCGGGTCTCTGTGAGGGGCCCCTGGAGCTCCCTAGACCCCGCACACCGGGCTGCTTCCCTGTGGTGGAGGTAGGAGCCCCCCACCCCAGCCATTTTCTTGTGCCCTGGGGTCTCAGGGTGGGGACTGGTCCAGGGCTCTGAACATGTGACCAAGTGGCACGGGCCAGGCACTGCCTGTGTGGGCACAGGTGACAGCAGTGACCCTGGGAGAGCCCAGGAGACTGCCCGGGGGCAGGGGGACCTAAGACAGCTCGGAGAGGGGGCTGGCACGGCCCCCAGCCCTGCAGGTTCTCGAGTTGGAGCGGAGGCTGGAGGCACAGAGCGGGTGTCCGTGCCGGGGGCCTGGCCTGGCACATCAGATGCCCTGTGTGCCCCAAGTTCACCCAGGCAATGCTTGCTGCAGGGCCAACTTCCCGGCATCGCCCTCCCCGACCCCAGCGCCCCCTTACCAGCCAGACGACGAGCGAGTAGTGGCCGCGGGCGGCCGCGGCGTGCAGGGCGCTCATGCCGTCGAGGGCTCGCAGGTGCACGTCGGCGCCGCAGTCCTTCACCAGGAACTGGGCCAGGTGCAGGTGGCCCTCCTGGCAGGCCAGGTAGAGTGGGGAGGCACCAGTGCGCGTGCGCCGGTTCACACCGCTGCAGGGGAGGCAGGGCGCGGGGTGACTGGCCAGGGGCTGGTGGCCGGGAGGCTGCTCAGCCAGGGTCCTGATGGAGGGGGCTGGGGTGGCCTGGCCACCTGGCCCATTGATTAGTGCCCCGCCTCCCTCCTCCATAGCCAGCAGAGGTGCACATGCTGTGCACCGCCCAAGGGCACCAGCAACCAGGGGTGGGGGTGTCCTGGCCGCTGGACTCCAGCTGTGCCCATCCCCCATCAAGCTGGCCCTCACCGGCAGGGGGTGCTCTGTAGGGCTGGTGAGCACAGTGGGGCCTGCAGGCTTCCCCCAGCCCCAGGGCGTGGAGAGCAGGCAGGAGCACAGCTCGGCCCCGCTGCGGCTGTCAGCCCCAGGTGTGTCCTTGGTCCCCAGTGGCCAGTTACTGGTCCCTTGCCCAAGGCTGACCCTGGCTCCCGTCTCCTATGGACTGGATCTCCCACGTTCCTTCAGCTGCTGCCCAGGCCTTCGGGTCCCCTCCCTGAGCTGGGTCCTCACGTGGTCCCGCACGCCTGTCTCTTCTTCCTTTCCTGGGTCTGGGTTACTAACATCCGCCAAGAGGGTCACGGTTTCAGGCTGGTGCCGACTTCTCAGCCGTCCCCAGAGGCACAGAACTGACACCAGCTCTCAGTGAGCGTTCCGGGGCTGGGGTGTCCCCACCACAGGAGAGCAGCTGTGCTGGGCCAGGCTGGGGTCACAGTGCCACACAGAGGGCAGGAGCCGCAGGGCCGCCGAGCGCTGCACACCCAGCCTCACCCCGTCCCAGCCCCTGTTCCCGGGGGGCCCTTGATCTGGACACCTCTCCTGAGCCCCCAGAGCTCACTCGCCACTCCTGTCACGTGAGTCCTAGTGACCTGGAGCTGCCCCCCGCCCAGCAGAGCACGTGGGCCACTCGGCCTCAGCCCGCAGAGGGGAACCCGAGGCAGAGAGCTGCAGGACTCTCCCCGCTCCCAGCAGCCCCGCCGTGGTTCCTCCAGGACCTCTGCCTGCTCTCCTCGGCTCCCAGCGAGGGCACAAGGGAGCCGACGGTCAGCACCTGGCCTGTCGGGCTGTGGGTGTCCACTCCTGGAACGCACCCTGAGGGGCAGCACACGCACATCAGTGCCTTTCACGAAGGGAGGGTGCAGCTTCCGCCTGACCCTGCCGGGCAGCCGTGGCCGAGCCAGTGCAGCGGCCAGCAGGCCGGGGTCCCTGGAGCACACGCACTGTCCCAGCTGCCGCGGTCAGGGCCCGGTGGGCCAGGGCCAGGGCCAGGGTCTCCCCTCGGGGTGTGTGTGTGAGCTGCTCCGTGACTGGCTAGGCTGGGGGGCGAGGTGGACGCTCTGGGGAAGAGCTGCAGAAGCGAGTCCCAAAGGCCTTTTGGGTCCAGAATGGGGGACTGGGCACAGGAACCCTGTCCCACACAAATGTGGGGATGTCAGGTGACCAGACTTCCAAATAGGATGCTCCCTCAAAGAGAGGTGGCACGGGCTGGCACCGCGGCTCACTAGGCTAATCCTCCGCCTGCGGCTCCGGCACACCGGGTTCTAGTCCCGGTCGGGGCGCCGGATTCTGTCCTGGTTGCTCCTCTTCCAGTCCAGCTCTCTGCTGTGGCCCAGGAAGGCAATGGAGGATGGCCCAAGTGCTTGGGCCCTGCACCCGCATGGGAGACCAGGAGGAAGCACCTGGCTCCTGGCTTCAGATAGGTGCAGTGCGCGGGCCGTGGCGGCCATTTAGGGGGTGAACCAACGGAAGGAAGACCTTTCTCTCTGTCTCTCTCTCACTGTCTAACTCTGCCTGTCAAAAAAAAAAAAAAAAAAGAGAGAGAGAGAGAGGTGGCATGGCCAGAGGCAGGGGGCTCCTGGGGGGTGTGGAGGCTCCTCTCTGAGTCGGGACGCAGCCTGGGCACCCACAGTGCACTGCAGTATGGAAGTGGCCCTCGCTGCAGTGGGCAGGGCCTTCATGCCGGACAAGGACCAAGGACCAGGACAGGCGAGGGGTCCTACTGCCCTTGGCTCGGCCAGCCTGTCCTGTCCCCGGCTCCCTTCCTGGCACCACCAACTCCTAGGTGACAAGGCCAGTTCCCAGCCCCAGGGGTTCCCAGTTCAGGTGACGAGACAGTGAGGAGGGGATCGGGGCTGGCCAGGGTGGCCTTTGTGCCCTCAAGCCCACTGAGCCACCTCTGCTCCCCTCAGCTGAGAGCAGGTGCCCACAGCGCCACCAGCAGGCCCGCAGGCCCCGCAGTGTGCAGCCCCGAGATGCCCTAGGGGCTGGGAGCTGCCCTCAGCACCAGTGCCCAGCCATTCCCACTGCCCACCGAGGCCCCTTGCTTGTGGCTAACTGCCGTGCCACGTGTCCTGCTGGCCCGGCCGGTCCCCGGCTCTGCTCCTGCCCAGCCTGGGGCTTCAGGCTCGCTTCGTGGTCTCCGCATGCTCGCCCCCGCGTCCTCCTTGGTGTAGGCACTCAGGGGCCAGCACCACCCCCGCCGAGGAGGGTCTCTGGGCTCTCACCTGCCGTGGGCGGCCGTCAGGAGCTTCAGGCAGGTCAGGTTCCCGCTGACAGCAGCGTGGTGCAGAGGCAAGGCCCCCTCTCGTGTCTCCAGGGTGGCCGAGTGGCCCTCGTGCAGCAGCCACTCCACCAGCGTGGGGTGTGCGAAGCGGGCGGCCAGGTGCAGTGGGGAGACGCCCGAGGCATCCTGGTCCTACCGAGGCACAGGCAGAGCATGAGCTGGGGGCGGACCCCAGCCTGCCTGTGCTGGGGGCCTGGGGCTAGGCTGGGCGCAGGTCCTGCTGCTGGACCTGCAGGGCAGCCTGCTCAAGGTGAGGCAGAGCTGACTCCAGTCGTCTTGGGAGTCCCACACCCCGAATCCCGCCCCATCCCCCCTCCCACCCCACGGCCCCGCCCACTCAGTCCAGTCTTGGGAGTCCCCACCCCGGATCCTGCCCCATCCCTGCCCCCATGGCCCCGTCCACTCTGCTCGTGGTCCATCAGAAAGCCCCCCTTGCCCACACGGTCCCTGCACTCCTGCCTCTGGACCCCTGTCCCTCTGTCCCCCAAAGGCCCCATGATCCCAAATCAATCCAGAAACAGGCGCAGGTCCCGCCACTGCCTTTGGGGTCATGGCAGGAACCGGGGGTCTGCCCTCAGCGTGGGTGCCCTAGGCCTGCCTGAGACGGCTCAGCATCCTCCCGGGATGGCAGCCAGGGCCGACCCACAGTGCCGCGGTCCTTCTCCTGCTTGAGGGGGACTGGGCAGGAGGAGGGGGGAGCCCTGGTGCAAACGCCCTGGACAGGACAGTCCCTGAGCCCTGAGCCCTCCTCACTGCCCCCACAGCCTGGCCAGGCCCTCTGCCGACCCTTTGGGAGGCAGGTCTCCCCAGCCCGACCTCACCAAGCACTCTCAGTTGTGGGGAGGGGTGGGGAGGAAGTGCCTGGGGGGTGTCTTCCCTCCCAAGGGTTTTGCAATGTTTGGGAGGATGGGGAGGGGCAGGGGTAGACACCGCCCACCAAGTCCCTGAGAAACAGGACCCAGGGTGGTGGGCATCCGGCCTCCTGGCCCACCCTTTTCTCACTCCACCCGCGTGGGTTAGAGAGCAGCCGCCAGGCTGTCCCCTCCACTCACCTGCAGGCCGCAGCCCCCGTCGCGGACGAGCCAGCACAGCTCGGCCAGGCTGCCTGTGGCAGCGGCGTCGTGCACGGGTGTGGCCCCGTTGTGGGCCCGCTGGTCGCCAGGCAGCTTGGCCCGCTGCACCAGGAACTTGACGCAGTCTAGGTGGCCAGTCCGAGCGGCGTGGTGCACCAGGCCGGCCCCCAGGGCGTCCGTGATGCCCGGGCCCAGGGCACCAGCCTCCAGCAGCAGTTCCAGGGTGGCCACGTCCCCATCCTGGGCAGCCTCCAGCGCCCGCTGCTCCTCCATCCTCCGGCCGGGCTCTCGGCGGCAGCTCGTGCCCAGGCCCGGCAGGCTTCCTGTTTCAGGCGTGGACGCAGCTGCCGGCTCTGGTTACCCGATAAGCAGGCACAGGCAGATGGGAGGCGGCAGCAGGAGGGGCCAGGCCCTGGGGACCGGCCCTTGCAGCCTTGCCCAAGCTACTGCTGGCGCCCACGGGCCAGGTGCCCAGAGCTGGGGGGTGGGAGGCATCAGAGGGGAAGGGTCTGCACCAGGCTGGCCAGAAGAAAGAGGCGCGCCCGCGGCCCAGATGTGCAGTGGCTGGGACCTGCCTCCCACTCCCACTGCAGAGTGGGAGTGGAGGGGGCGCCATCAGGTGTCTCGGCCTGGGAGGGGCTTCCAGCAGGGCGACGTAAAGGCGTCCACAGTCCCCTTCCTTCCAGAAAGCACAACCCCCTGAGCGCCCGCCCCCCTGGCAGCTCTCACAGGCTCCCTCCAGGTCTCAAGGGAGGCAGACTCACCCACAGCGCCCCTGCTTGGTGACATCATCACCGAGAGAACCGAGGGCCCCTGAATCTACGCTGGGACCCTGGTCATCAGCCCTCGTCCCTGCGGGCTCCCAAGACCCTCCCGGGACGCAGGAGCCCCTGTGGGGCCTGTGAGGGGACAGGCAGGGGCTGGACAGGAAGGCCTCCGGGGGGAATGGGAGTCCCACGGCTTGGCTTCATCCCAGCCTCCGCCCCCAGCGGCCGAGTCTCTGCGGCTGCAGCCAAAGGCCCAGTGAGCCCTGATTCCAGATTGTTCTCTTCAAGGGTCTGGGCGGGCCAAGGGGCTTTGCTGGGGAAGCCAGGGCCCGCACAGCCTCTTCCAGCGGCCACAAGAGGCTGGGGGCTCCTGGAGATTACAGTTAGGAGCTGCTACACCCCGCCACCTGTGGCTCAGCCCCAGGGGAGCACCTGCCACGCCCACCAGAGAAACCGGACACGGCCATGCCAAGTGTGGAAACCATTTATTAGCTCGCCCCATTTCCCACAGGTGGTTCCTCGGTGACAGCACGTGGCTCTGTTACAGAGTATGCATTAGAACTCTCGGCCCTGACGGTCGTTCCTATGTCACATGTCAGAACCGTCAGCCCTGATGGTCACTCCTATGTGACATGTCAGAACCGTCAGCCCTCTGATGATCTCTCCTATGTCACATGTCAGAACCGTCAGCCATGACGGTGGCTCCTATGTCACATGTTAGAACTGTCAGCCTTGATGGTTGCTCCTATGTCATATGTCAGAACCATCAGCCATGACGGTGGCTCCTATGTCACATGTCAGAAACGTCAGCCCTGATGGTGGCTATGTCACATGTCAGAACCGTCAGCCATGACGGTGGCTCCTATGTCACATGTCAGAACCGTCAGCCTTGATGGTTGCTCCTATGTCACATGTCAGAACCGTCAGCCCTCTGATCATCTCTCCTATGTCACACATCAGAACCATCAGCCATGACGGTCCCTCCTACGTCACATGTCAGAACCGTCAGCCCTGATGGTCGCTCCTATGTCATATGTCAGAACCATCAGCCCTGACGGTGGCTCCTATGCAAATCCCCCTCGCCGCAGGACGCTGTGTGAAGATAAAAGTCCTTCTGCAGACGGTGGGGATGAGAGCTGGGTGGGGAGATCCGATTTCCCACCTCGGGGATGGCACAGACACCGGCCGCCCACACCAGTGCAGCAGATCAGAAGGGGAGCCAGGAGAGGCGGTGGCTCGGCGGGGGAGGTGCCCAGTGACCTGTAGCCCACACGGCAGCAGCAAAAGTGCTCGGCCACCAAGGGTGCGTCCTGCCCTGGTCGAGGCAGGGCCCACCGAGGCGGCAGGGAGCTTCCTAGTTTCCTGACGGCGGCCGAGTGGCAGTGACTTATCGGTTCCTGGGTTTTATCTTGCAGATGAAAACGCCGCTTCCGGGCAGGGCGCTCAGGAGAGGCTCACGGATCCCTCGAGGGGCGCCGGTGTGGCTGCAGCCGGTCGCTCCCGCCGTCGCCCGTGGCCAGTGGGGCCGTGGGGAGGGCTGTCTGTGCGCCTGGCAGACCCAGTCCGTGGAGAAGGCACTCGCACCGACGCCCACGCTTCACCACGCCACGCCGCGGCGGGATGAGACAAGCAGACGCCAGACGGCTGGCGGGGGACTCCCACGAGCCGCGCGGCCCGGCACTAGGCCTGGCCCTCCAGCCGGGCCACGGCCTGCTTCAGGTCCTGCACGGCGAGCTCCACCTCGGCCCTGGTGGTGCTGCGGCCCACGCTGAGGCGCAGCGCGTTCTTGGCCACCGCGAAGGGGACGCCGCAGCTCAGCAGCACGGGCGACGGCCTGGGGACGAGGCGAGGAGGTGAGTCACTGCCCACTGTGCTCTCGGCCAGGGCGAGGGCGCCCTAAACCTCTCCCACAGGGCCAGGCCACAGGGTGCCCATCACGGCCCCAGCCCTGCGAGTGGACGTCCTGGGACAGGGCTGCGGCCAGCCTCATCTCGTGGGCCTCCTCCCTCTCTCATCTCCATGGCTAAGACCACAGGTTCTGCATGTCAGTTTCCTCATGAGAGAGACAGGCGACTACAGAGCCTGCAACGCAGGGCCGTGGGGGACGAGCCCTGAGCGACAGCCACCTCAGTGACAGGAGGGGTCCCTGTGCCACAGGCGGGTCTGTGCCTCTCACTTCCCCATCGTACTCCGGGCTGGCCTTGGCCTCTCTGCTTCTGTCGGTGGTTCCTGGCTTCACCTGCCCTCCGCCTGGTCCTTCGAAACCCCGCCCACCTTCCCTCATCTACTGTATGGACTGGGCCCACCCACCCCTACCTGCCCCCACCTGCCCCCACCTCACTTCCCACAAGCCCCACACAGCCCTCCCGGAGCCTCCCACCCCAGCCCAGCCCCACAGGCACCTCACCCTGCAGCAAGCCAGGAAGTGACCTCGCCTGCCCCAGGCGGTTCCACTGCTTGGTGCCCACACCCCCAACCCCACAGCACTGGGTGTGGCGTGGGGGTACTTACTGGTCCCCGAGGTCCGAGTGGCATGCGGCCCCTACGCTGGCCAGCAGCGTCCGGCACTGTGCGAGCACCAGGCGGCCTGCGGAGACAGAGCGTGGCCTGCTGAGACGGGGCCGGGGCAGGCTGCCCTCCACCCTGCCCGGGACGGTGTCTGCCCGGCCCTCAGGCCAGTGTCCGGCTCCCGCAGCAGGCTCCAGGCAAACACACACAGCAGATTCCTCTGCCTCGCCCGGGCCTGGGAGGGGAGCCTGCTGCTGGCTTCTGAGCCAGAGACCCCGGGAGCTCACTCCCCGAAGCCAGAGGCCTCTCCCTCTTTTCCCCAAGGACAGAAATTGAACATTAGAGCGCTGACTGCTGACACAACTGAAATGAGAATCTCTGGGACTCTCCGTGAGACGAACCCAGCGGCCACCGAGCAGGGGCTGCTGGGAGGAGCCGGGGAGCCCGCAGGCTCCTGGCAGGGACAGTGCGTCAGGGCAGGCGGCACCAAGGCTTCTCCAGGCCCCCAGGGTCCCTGTGTTAACCCAGGAGCCTGAGAGGGCCGCCGCCCTCCCCTTCAAGGAGGGCCAAAGCCTGAATGCAGCCACGGCGCATCTGTGCCCCGACGAGCCCCGGCTGGCCAAGGCCTGGACTTGGGCCCCCAGCAAGCCCTACTGCTCCTGGCGCGCAGTGCAGCTGCAGGAAGAAGGAAGCCCGCGGGCTTGGCTCCGGCCAGTTTTCCTGGACACAGGATGACTTATAAAGACTGCTGGCAGAGGTGGACAAGCAGCCTGGAACGTAGTCCATCTGTTTCCCTCCCGGGGGCCCCAGCTCGGCGACAAGGACCGGTGTGTGACCTGCACGCGCCCACACTCAGTGCCTTAGTGCAGAGCTCGGGCAGGGAGAAAGCGCGGTGACAGGAGCCCCGCGGGACGGCGACCCAGGGCCCCGGCAGCGCTCGGTGCAGACCCGGGGGGCGGTGTCACGCCCAGGGCAGCCACGGGCAAGGGGGAGGTGCTGGCTCAGAAGCAGCTCACGGCACGGGAGCAGCACTGCTATGGGAGGGGGGGCGGGGGAGACAGGCAGTCACCTGGAAGCTGGGGTCCCCGGATGGAGACGTTACAGGTGTTCGGCAGCCGCTCGGCCCCTGGAAACCGGTTATTGAGATGGATTCTCTTTTTACCAAACTCAGCCTGGAAAAAAGCGTGATTGGGCGACAGCTTCACAGACCTCTCCACTTTAGCCTTTTCTAGAACACAAAATCTCGACGTGCGCGTTTCTCTGATCGACACGCATCTGCGTGGACCAGTCAGGGACAGACAGGCTACGTGAAGCACGGTTAGGGTCCCTGTGGGCCTCCTGCACCCAGCCACTACACACGTCTCTGGTGTGCTTCACCAGGATCTGCGGTGACGGTCCTCCCGGACGGGGACCTTCTCCAGGTGTCTCAGCGACCCCCCCCCCCAACACCGCGATGCGCTCGCAGTGAGCTCCTGACGCCCACGCTCTCACCGCCCATTTCCGCCCGGGCAGCCTGGGCCCCCAGGAGCGCCCCCAGCCTCCCCGCTCACCTCCAGCCTCTCCTCCAGGTAGTCTCTGACGTCTCTCATGTGGGCCTCGTAAGCCTCACAGTTCGCAGTCACCAGCTCAGCAGCCTGGGGAGACACGGGGCAGCGCGGGGAACCCAGTTACTGCAGGACGGGGGAGCGGTGGCTTCAAACACCACAGGAGACACCCTGGGAAGCCGCCCCTCCTGGGACCATGGCAAGCAGACACAGCGTTCTGGTGGTGACAGTGTCGGGCTGTGACACACACTGGGGGAGCCACCTGCCCTTCCCAGTGGCTTCAGGTACTGGAGGCACCTCAGCAAGTAAGCCCCCAAAGGGCCCCCTGGGAAGTAGGTGAGAGAGTGGGGGGCACAGTAAGGGAGGAGGTGCATGCAGGCTGGGGGGTCTGAGAGGGGCTGCGCAGGGCATGGAGAATCGTCCGGCACAGACAAAGGGACCAGAAGTGGGGGGTGGGCAGCCAGGGACAGGACTGCAGCTGGAGCTGAGTAAGGGACAAGATGATCATTTGCGTGTGTAAGGGCCACTGCGGCTGCCATGGACAGAGGCTCAGGGGCCAGGGCAGCCGTCCACAGCAACAGGCAGGACTTGGTGGTGGCCACGAGAATGGACGAGGCAGGTCCTTGATACCTTCCAGACAGAACACACAGAATGCTGCTGCGTTAGGCGCGGGCAACAGGACACAGAAGGCGCCGAGGGCAGTCCTCAGATTGCTGAAGACCCTGCGGGGTGGGGTCTTCAGGGTGAGAGGGAGGCTGGGGGACAGAGACTGGGGCGTGTCTGGAACGGGTGGAAATGTCCAGCGTGCGGCAGGAACACAGGCACCCGGGAAGGGTCAGGACTGCCCTCCAGCCCTGTGAGGCCGGGTTCGAGGAGCAGGGGCTGGTGTTACAGCCAGACCGGCAGCAGGGCTGGGCATGAAGGCAGAACAGAACACGGAGGGAGGGGCGCGCCGGAGAGGGCGGGGCCTGGCCGCGCCAGGGTCTGCCACGGCCAACGCTGAGGCCCAGAACACGGCAGAGGCTGCGAAGCTGCGATGTGGACGTGGCCTCGGTGTGGACATGGACCCAGTCCAGGTGGGCAGGGAGAGAGGGGCTGAGACAGCCATGAGCCCTGTGCAGGTACCTGGGAGCTGGCCGAGGAGCCGCTGGCCAAAGCTTTGTCTAGGAAGCGGCCACTCCAAACCCCACCGTGCTGGCGGGACAGCGGCCTGTGAAACCTTGACCCGGGACGTGAGCCGGGTGTCTCGGAGCCCGTGGGCCTCGTCTCCAGGAGCCGGTGCCGGGCTCCCGCAGAACACATTTACTCCCAGGGAGTGCAGCCGTGGTTATCACGGCACAACACGGCGGCCAGTTACGACCGCAATCCCGAATGTTCCAAGTCACGGTGCACGTACGCCCCTCCAGGCACCTGCCACGCGCCAAGGCCAAGCCGCTGCCCGCACACAGCTGCTGGGGGCGAAGGCCAGGAGAGACACAGACGCTGGCATGCTGTAGGGAGCAGCTGCGTAGCGTAGGGACTGACGCCGGCGCTGCACACTGCGGCTCCTGCTCCTGACGCTGGGAAGCACGGGGAGGCCTCAGGCAGCTGGGTTCCCGCCGCTCCCCTGGGAGGCCTGGGTGAGTCCTGGCTCCCCACTGTGGCCCTGGCCAGTCCTGGCTGTTGTGGGCGATGGGGTGGGGCTGGGGAATGAACCAGCAGAGGAGCTTTCTCTCAACAGAAACCCAGATGGGGGAGGGCAGGGAGGGGCCTCTCTGCCTGAGCAAACTCCAGGTCCCCCCACAAACCCCGTCTGCTGCAGCTGCGCCTGGGCCCGGGCCCGGGGAGAGCTGGCAATGGGCTGCCCTCGGCCAAGAAGGCCTGCAGCCCTCCAGGTGAGGCAGGGCGCCCGGGCTGCCTGCAGCTGCGGGAAGGGGCCAGACGGCCTGTGGGAGGATCTCACAGCCGTTCCTCGGGGAAGACGAGAGCGCAGAGCTTGGCCATGTGCAAGCTGTCTCCCAGCTCTGGGAAGGGGGCTCTCCAGGTGGGTAAGCCAGCTCCGGGCTTCTCCGCGAGTCCCGGTGACATGGCCACGCAGGGCCCCGCTGCGCAGGCGCCGTGGCTTACCTTCCCGAGGCCGGCAATCATCGGGGTGTTCTCCGTCCTGCAGGCGGGCGAGAATGAACAAGCGCACATGAACATTGCCGTGTCGGAATGAAGACAGCACACCTCGGCCCCCAGCTGCGCCACCCAGGCACCCCGACGGCGCCCCAAACCATAACCCTCTGCAGCTTCTCCTCCTGGCCCAGTGACGGCCACACGGCCCACGGGGGGTGACACACCTCTCGATGGTCCCTACAGCGTCAGGTAGGACGGGACGGAATCCTCTGAAGCGGGGGTGAGAACCCTTTTCCTGCCGCAGGCCGTTCGGATATGGACCCATCACTCGCCTGCTACAGGTGTGCTGAATTCCAAGCCCTGCCGCGGCTGCTTCGGCGCGGCCAGACCTAATGGCTCGGCAGGCCTCACACCGCCTGTAGCCGATGGCCTCAGACACCAGCAGACAAGGGACCGACAGACCCGCGCTGCTCATACTGCGATCCGAAAGACTGCTCATCCGAGTGCTTCTCCCTGCTTTTAAGGGGAAAAGCTCACAAATGTTTACTTCTGACTGAGCAGAATCTTTCCAGGCCCTTGGAGCTGGCTGCCGCCTGGACTTCCTGGTCAGCGTGGGTGCTGACGGCGCCCGGTGGCCGGCATCTCCCCGGGGGCGGGCGCTGTTGCACACGACGTCACGCCGGCTGGTCTGCCAAACGGGCGTCTTCCCTGGTGAAAAGTCCCCGCGTGTCCTTCGCCCGTTTTCGGCCGGTTTCTTTTCCTCTTGAGTTCTCTGTGTTCCGGACCCCTCGTCTCGTCAGATGTGCTCGTGCGGCTCATCTTTCCTGAAGCAGAAGTTGTGCATTTTCAAGAGGTTGGATTTTTCCTTTTTTGGCTGTTTTGATACTGAGTCTAAGAACTCCGTCTCATGTTACAACCTGAACGTTTCCTCTGTTTTCCCCAGAAGTTTCAAGGCTTTATGTTTTACGTGTAACTTCACGGTCTAGTTTGAGTTAATGTTTTCTTAGGTCTGCGACTTTGGGGAAGTTCATTTCCCCCAGGGATGTCTAACTGCTGACCAGCTGTCTTTCTCCACTAAATTTATCTGCATCTCTGTCAGATCACCTGGGCTTGTTTCTGGTTGTCCGACCTGTTCCATGATGTCCCGTGCTGGGATTTCGAGACACCGTGTTGGGCTTGGATATAAACCTGGCCTCCGTACTGAGTTGAACCTTCTGCCCATTTGTTTACATCTTTGACTTCTTCCATCCACGCTGCGTAGTTCCCAGCCCACAAGCTCAGCATTTTGTTGGATTTACATGAGCATTTTACTACAGTTGGCATTGTTTTCGCTGTCCATGGGTTCATTACTGACAGAGAAAGCTACAGCAGATCTGCGACTTGGCTGCGCTCACTGATCGGCGCTAGGAGTTTTCTTGCGCGTTCCTCAGGACTTCGGACGGGCAGTATCGCGTGAACGGATGAGGGACAAGCGTGCCGCTTCTTCTCTCATCTTCACACCTTCGGCTTCCTTTTCTTGCCTTACTGCTCCGACCAGGAAACTCCCAGCATTCTCCTGCGCATGGGCCTCACTCTCCTTCCCACAGAGGGAACGCAGTGGGCTCTCACGGAGGGCAACGCCAACTGGAGGTCTTATTTAGTTCTTAGCATTCATTCTGAGCATTTTTAACATGAGTGCGTGTTGGATTTTGTCAAATTTTTTCCCATCAAATATGTTTATGCTTATTCATTAGCCTACTAATATGGTAGATAATACAACTGACTTCAAACAGATTTGTTTATTTGAAGGCAGAGTGATAGAGGGAGAGGGAGCGGACCTGCACTGGCGCTTTGATGTGAAGCAGCCGCTTGACCCACTGCACCACGTCTGCTCAACTGATTCGTCAGTACGGAACCAGAACTCCATCCAGGTCTTCCACATGGGTTCCAGGGATCCAACCACAAGCCATCTTCATCTGCCTCCCAGGAGCATTAGCTTCTGTGTTAACATCCTGTCGAAGACGGTCTACACTCCTTCTGTGTTAACATCCTGTCGAAGACGGTCTACACTCCTTCTGTGTTAACATCCTGTCGAAGACGGTCTACACTCCTTCTGTGTTAACATCCTGTCGAAGACGGTCTACACTCCTTCTGTGTTAACATCCTGTCGAAGACGGTCTACACTCCTTCTGTGTTAACATCCTGTCGAAGATTCTGCATCTAAATTCATGCGGGGCGGTGGTGCAGTCTGGTTGTTTTGTCTTTGGTTTTGGTATCAGGGTAATAGCTTCCTAAAATAAACGGACACGCTCCTTCCAAAACAGCGTGCAGAAGTGGTAATTCCTCAGACCCTCGGCAGCTTTCTTCAGTAAAAACTCCCAGGCCTGGAGATCTCTCTGTGGGGGGGTGGGGACTCTAAGCTACAAGTGCAGTTTTCAAACAGTGATGCGGCTCCCCCAGCGGCCCATTTCATGATGTGAGCTTGTGCTGTGGTCACTTGTGCTGTGGCCACATGAGCTGTGCCACTTGTAGCTGTGGTCACTTGTGCTGTGGCCACTTGAGCTGTGGTTACTTGTAGCTGTGGTCACTTGCACTGTGGCCACTTGTACTGTGGTCACTTGTGCTGTGGTCACTTGCGCTGTGGTCACCTGTGCTGTCACTTGTACTCACTTGTAGCTGTGGTCACTTGTGCTGTGGTCACTTGAGCTGTGGTCACCTGTGCTGTGGCCACTTGAGCTGTGGTCACTTGTGCTGTCACTTGTACTGTGGTCACTTGTAACTGTGGTCACCTGTGCTGTGGCCACTTGTGCTATGGTCACTTGTACTGTGGTCACTTGTAGCTGTGGTCACTTGTGCTGTGGTCACCTGTGCTGTCACTTGTACTGTGTGGTCACTTGAGCTGTGTTCACTTGTGCTGTGGTCACATGTAGCTGTGGTCACTTGAGCTGTGATCACCTGTGCTGTGGTCACCTGTGCTGTCACTTGTGCTGTGGTCACCTGTGATGTGCCACTTGAGCTGTGGTCACTTGAGCTGTGGTCACCTGTGACGTGCCACTTGTAGCTGTGGTCACTTGAGCTGTGGCCACTTGAGCTGTGGCCACTTGTGCTGTGGCCACTTGAGCTGTGGTCACCTGTGCTGTCTGAGGGACTGGTTCATTTCACCTGAGCTGCCAGCCCTGTGGGCAGAGGTGTCGGGCACTCCCTCTCTAGCTGCTCCACCCCCAGTGTTGTCTTCTCTGTCAGTCTTGCTTGTGGTTTGTCAGTTTATTTGCTTATTTCTTGAAGACCCCGCTCCTTGTCGCACTGGATTTTCCTGTCCTGTGTTTGCCTCCGATTTCATCGATCTCTGTTCTGGGCTTCCTTCTGTTTACGCTGTGGTCTGTGGTGCTCTCTCGGGGTGAGTCAGATCGCGGACTTTTCCCCAACACGCATTTAGTGCCATCACCTCCCTCTGGCACCGCTTGGGCTGTGCCTCACAGCTTCTGCTGTCTGGGGTTCTCACTGTTCTTCAGTTCAACGTGTTGGACCCACAGACTGTTTAGAAGTGAGTTGCTTGTATCCAAGTGCCTGGCACTTTGCCGATCATTCTTCCATCACCGACTCTTACTTTGATTCCATGGCGGTCAGGGAAAATACACTATATGATTTCAATTCTTTTCAAAAACATTTTAATGAATTTTATTCATTGGAAAGGCAAAGAGATGGACAGACAGACAGATGGTGGTCAAAGAGGGGTCCCCCACCTGCTGGTTCTCTCCCCAAATGCCTGCAAAAGACAGGGCTGAGCTAACTCAAAGCCAGGAGCCCAGAACTCAATCCAAGTCTCCCACGTGGGCAGCAGGGACTTAAATCCTTGAGTTATCACCTGCTGCCTCCCAGAGTGTGTGCTGTCAGGAAGCCGTGTCAGAAGCAGGGTTCTGGGGCTTGAACCAGACGCTCTGATATGGGATTCAGGCACCCTGAGCGGAGACTTAACTGCCGGGCCACACACCCACCCCCCACAACTTTCAGAGTTCCCCTGTCGAGAGCTGGGTCTCCTTTATGTTCCTTTACCTTCGCCTTTCTGTAACGACGTTCAATACTTCCTTTATTTATTTCTAGAACCCCATCAGGCATTGTGACAATTTTGCTTATCACACAGAATTTAGAAAACTGGGGAGGGGAGGTCACCGTTGTGGGACAGCAGGTTAAGCTGCCGTTCGCCACGGGGGCACTCTGTCGGCACGGACCCGAGTCCCGGCCGCTGTGCTCTGACCCAGCTCCCCGACAATGCGCCGGGGAAGGCGGGGAAAGGCGGCCCAAGCTGGGGCCCTTTTCACGCACGAGGGAGACCAGGCTGCGGCTTCCTGGCTCCTGCACCTCTGGGGAGTGAACCAGGGAATGGGAGACCTCTCTCTGTCCCTATCACTCTACCTTTCAAATGAATGAACAAACAAATAAATGCATCTTAGAAAGGAAAGTGAAGAGGAGAAGGAACACGCACTGTACTTGGGAGGGAGCTGCTAGTTTTTCCTTCGTCTAAGAGTGCCCTGCTTCCCCGTCAGGCCGGAAGGGTGCCCCTGCTGGGCCCAGGGCTCCGGGGCAGGACACCTTCTTGGAGCGCCTGGCAAACCCTGACCACTTTCTTCTGGGCTCCGTGTTTCTGATGACAGACCCTCTGCTTCCCCATCGGGGATGCCTCACTTCTCTCTGGGTGCCTTCAACACCTCCTCCTGTCTCCTCCATTCTGAGAAGTGCAGCTGGAAGTCCTGGCATGGATTTTGTGGTGGGGTGGCTTCTGTTTGGGGTGTGCTCAGCTCCTCAGCACGTGTTTGCGTGTCTGCCAAAGCAGGGGCGTCTCCCAGCCCTGCCCACGTGTTCTCCTGCAGGGCTCTCGACGGCGCAGTGCCCACCTCCCAGCGGCTGCACACGTCTCTCCCAGTCTCTGTCTGGGGCCTGGACTCCTGTGGTTCTTTCAGCCCACTGATTCTGACCTTCGTCCTCCCACCCTGCTGTCTAACCCATCCGCCGCGCGTCACTGGACTTTCTGGGTATAAAATCTCCGCTTGGTTCTTTGCTGCACGTTATCGCTAACACTTGCTGCTTCGTTTGCTTCAAGCGTGTTCTTGGTTTCACACTGAAGCATTTTTGTTTCCTGTAACAGATTTGTTGGAGAATTCCGGCACCCGTCTCCCCTCAGTGAGTCACGCCGTCTTTTTCACTCAGTTTGCAATCTTCACAGTTCTTGGTATAACTAACGCATGTGACGCTGGCACTTTGTTTGTTTCCGACACAGGGAAGGGGTCTTCCCAATGCTGCCAGGCGGAAGGGTCGGGGAGGCTCCTTCCCTGTTACCGCATCCTCACGTGGTTCTCCCGGCACCGTGGTGTGGGTGCTCACTCCCCGCTGGTGCAGTGAAATGGCTCCCATGCCCCTCTCTGCCCTGGCAGGGGTGTGGGGATGGCTGGGTGCAGCGTAGGGCACGTGGGAGTCTGGGCCTCCTGCTCGGCCCGTGTGATGGGGAGGGGGTGACAGTGCAGCTCCCTCTGGGGTGCCCGGTCAGAGCAGGTTTTCCCTTGAGAGGCTGTTCCCTCTGGTCTGCAGCTACAGAGAGCACCTTCAGGGGGACCCTTTCTGCTGCCCTCACTGGTGTTCTGGGTTGCTGGCGTCCTTAGCTCTAAGGGTGAGAGACAAGAGGCAAAAGAAAGCTCAGGGCCAGCGCTGTGGGTAAAGCTGCCACCTGCAGCACCGGCATCCATACGGATGCTGGTTCGAGTCCCGGCTGCTCCACTTCTGATCCAGCTCTCTGCTGTGGCCTGGGAAAGCAGTAGAAGGTGGCCCAAGTGCTTGGGTCCCTGCACCCAAGTAGGAGACCTGGAGGAAGCTCCTGGCTCCTGGCTTAGGATTAGCCCAGCTCTGGCTGTTATTTGCGGAGTGAATCAGTGGCTGGAAGACCTCTCTCTCTGCCTCTCTCTCTCTTTCTGCCTCTCTCTAACTCTGCCTTTCAGATAAATACATCTTTCAAAAAAAAAAAAAAAAAAACAAACCTTACAGGACTCCCCACCATGCTGTTCCCATGTCTCCCCCTTTCTTACTGTGAGGTTTCTGACAGAACCTGTGGCGCTGGTACTCATTTCTAGATAGAGACATCCATGCACATCCAGGGGACACGGGAGCGAGCAAAGGGAAGCCAGGATGCTTCTACGTGGCCCCGCTGCTCCCACCGTGAAGGGCACAGCAGCACGTCCCGCCACGAGGCCAGAAGGGTCCAGCAGTGTCCAGCTAGTGGGCTGGGCCAAAATAACCTGGGGCGTGGAGTGCTTTGAGGGGTCCGAGGAGACAGATTTCCTGTGCTGCTGGGAATCGCTCCTGAAGACGGCACAGCTGGGAGTCAGTGCAGGACTGACCCGGAGCCACCTCTGATTTGGTCACGGTGTCAACGGTGCTACACGGCACTCCCAAAAGGCAGAAGAAACGGCACTAGGTCGTGTCAGGACATCGCTGCTCCACAGGCAAACAGCCTGGCCAGTGTGTTAGAGACCGTGAACTTTCTACATTACCCTGGCCTGAAATTCCGCTCTTGTCCACCTCCAAACAGCATGGGGTACAGAGGGGTGAGGTCACCAAGCCCGCGGACATAAAGCGCGCCGATCCTGGGGCCGTAGAACTGGAAGGAAAAGTCAGGCAGTCACTCAGAAGCCTGCGGCAGCCTCGTCTGCACAGAGCTAAGTGCTCAGAGCACAGACACCCTCCGCGACACGCAGGGCTTCCTGTGAGCCCGAGGCCACGCCCCCACTGCTCCTGCAGGTGCACGGTGGAGCCCCAGCCTCAGAGGAGGGCGGGTGCTGGTCCCCAGCTCGGTGGCGGGCAGAGCCCCTGCACACCACATGACAGAATTTGTACACGGAGAGGGCTTTTCCTGCACCTGCGTCCGGGCTTCCAGCTGATGGGATGTGAACTCTAAGTGCCCCGCGTCAGGCCGGCACACACTCCGTGGAAGTCAGACAGAGTGCCGACCACACGGCACCTGCTAGGGCTCAGGGGGCAGCGCAGGCCCCTGAGAGGCCTCCGTAGGAACCGTTTCCCCCACTTCACCGCCAAGCCAGAGGGCCGAGTCTAGGCCCCGGCACCGAGGAGGCATGCTCACCACGCGTGAAAAGCCACGGTCCCTGAGCTGCACACCGTCTGTCTGCAGGAACACCCTCTGCAGAGGACGGCCACCACTCCCTCCTGCCCGAGGCCTCCCCGTGGATCCCAAGGTCCCCTACCCTGGGCACCCCCCTGTCCTGTCGTGGCACTCATCACAGGGCACCTGAGCTGCTGCTGGCCCCTGCTCTTGAAGTGCCCGAGGGCAGGGGCCGCAGGTCGCTGGTGGTAGCCGGCGGTGAGGCAGCGGCACTGCAGGCTCTGCTCCGAGGGCTGGCGGCGCCTCCCCCAGGAGGGAAGTGACCGCTGCAGACCCACCTTGTGCCCCACGATGGTCAGGAAGTCCACACCCAGGTCCTCCACATCCACGCGCCTCTTCCCCAACGCCTGCGCGGCGTCCGTGTGCAGCAGGACGCGGGGCAGCCCGGACACTGCCCGCTTCTGGTTCAGGGCTGCGATGCGCTGGCTGATTTCGGGGACAGGCTGAAGCAAGGGAAAACACACGGCTGAGCGCGTAGCTTCGACGTCGGCAGCAAGTGCAGGCGGACAGAGGAGGAGAGGCCCGAGCGGAGCAGCATGGGGACAGCTCCAGCGCCTGACACCTCTCTGCCCGGGGGGAGCTCCAGGAAGAAGAGAGGGGCTCACCATGATGATGCCAGTCTCGTTGTTGGCCAGCATGATGGTCACCAGGCACGTGGTGGGACGGACTGCGGCCAGGACGTCGTCTACCTCCACCTGCCCGCTCACCTTGGACACTGGGACAAAGGTGACCGCTGAGATGCAAAACACAAGTATCCAAGTTAACCACCAGAAGAGCTTCTGAAATTCCATTGAGACACAGTTCAACAGCACCATTTTCTGCAGTTGTAAACATAACAGCGGTGGGTTTTGGCCAGCAGTCAAGACACAGGTTAAAATGACCGAGCACCAGGTCGCAGTGCCTGGGTGCAGCACCCGCCTCTGGCTCCTGACTCCAGCTTCCTGCTAACGTGCATCCTGGGAGGTAGATGATGGCTCAGGTAGTGGGTCCCTGCACCCGTGTGAGAGACCTGGACTGGACTCCCAGCTCCAGGCTTTGGCCCTGGCTGGGGCCACTGTGGGTGTTTTGGGGAGTGAATCAGCAGGTGGGAGCTCTGTTTTTCTGTCTCTCAAATGATTCGATACATAACTTTTTCAAAAAAGTAATTTATGTTCAAAGTTCAGAGAACTGAAGGAGCGGAAACCGCCAGCCTCGCCCGGAAGTGACCCCTGCAGCCGTTCTCACCCAGACGCTTCCTCAGCTCCGCGACGCCGGCGAGGCTGCTTTCACGGGACACGCGGGAAGGGACCTGCGAGACGGAACACGCCAGGGACGACGGCCCGCTCACAGGTGCACACGCATCGTAGCACACCAGGCACTCGGCTTCACTCACTCAACGGAGCCAACACCTGCTAAACACCTACCACGCGCTGGGCCTGACACAGGCGCTCATGAACTCAGGACTTAACCGGAGCTTTTGGTGGAAAATGGTGGGAGACAGATGCAGCTCAGGGCCCCGCTTATCCTCTAGATAAGAGTTAGACTACAGTGCCAAGAGGGGTATTGTCCGTGGCTACACGAGGTTAATAGGAGCAGAAAAACACCCCACTCAGAACACTTGGAGAGAAACAGGGAAGAACCCAGGACCATCCCAGTTCAAGGCAAACAGCATGGAGGACTGCGCCAGGCAACAGACTGGGTTCAGCCCTGTGGCAGCCCTGCCTCACCCCAGCCAGTGGGTGCCTAGGCGCCGGCCTCAGACCGAGACAGAAAGGGCAAAAGGCAAGATCGACAGTGAGACCCGTAGAGGGGCATGGGAAAGGCGCCTGTGCCCAGAAGGACAGCAAAGGGGCTGGGTCCACTGCTCCAGCACTGCACAGCGCTGCACACACAGAGCCCACAGGGGCTGCACGGAGGCGCCTGCTACGCACACATCTGGGGCTGGAGCTGAGCCCCAGGCCGCCCACACGGAGCACTGGGACACTGCACCCGCCCTGGTGGACAGTCAGGGCTGCCAGGCCCACGAGGACAGTCGGCGTGGTCGGGAAGAACCAGGGTGAACAGGAGAGGGCCCAGAGAGAGCCCAGGCGCAGCAAAGGAAGCCAGGCTCCCAGCCGAGCCTCGGAAATGCTCGCGACACCCCAAGAACGGGGGTCTACAGCGATGGCCCTGCACGTCCCCCAAGAACGGGGGTCTGCAGTGAAGTGACTGCACGTTCCCCAAGAACGGGGGTCTGCAGTGAAGTGACTGCACGTTCCCCACAGCAGAAACATTCTCTTCAAGTCCTCAACCGCGAGACGCAGGGACTGCGGGAACAGAATTCTTTCACAGCTTGACCACAGAAACAGCAAGCTGTCTGGCCCAGAGTGAGACTCAGAGGGGCCGGGGGTGGGAGAGAAGCTCAGAAGTCGATCACTGAAGAAGTAAAGGTTTATATGTAGCTTTTTTTTTAAAGATTTATTTATTTATTTGAAAGTCAGAGTTACACAGAGAGAAGGAGAGGTAGAGAGAGAGAGAGAGAGAGAGAGAGAGAGAGAGAGGGCTTCCATCCGCTGGTTCACTCTCCAGATGGCCGCAACAGCCGTAGCTGCTCCAATCTGAAGCCAGGAGCCAGGAGCCTCCTCCAGGTCTCCCACGTGGGTGCAGGAGCCCAAGCACTTGGGCCCTCTTCCACTGCCTTCCCTGGCCACAGGAGAGAGCTGGATTGGAAGTGGAGCAGCCGGGTCTTGAACCAGCACCCATATAGGATGCTGGCACCAAAGGTGGTGGCCCCACCCATTAATAGGGAGAGGAACAGCCTCAGTAGTTTGAGGAGGTGTGTGGACACACTCCCCAACAAAACACCCATTTAACATCTCTGCAAATAAAAATCAACACCCATTTTGTCTCTGGAAATCACCCCAAAGGCACACAGCAAATGAGACATTCATTCCAGAAAACGGATTGACATTTGGTAATTACGGGCAGAGTCTGTGGCACCTCCACCATGATGCCTCTCAGCCCCCCCCCCCCCCCCAGCCCCACACCTCAGCCCCAGCTCTGCTTCAGGAAGGCAGGGCCAAGCCCCAGGGGCTCCTGTGCCCCAAGCACCCAGGCAGGGCTATGGTATGGGGGACAGGCTGCCAGCACTCCCTCTCTGCCTCCCAGCTCTGTGTAGCACATGGTGAGACCCGGGAGGTGAGGTCCAGGGGTTGGGGACACCTGCTCCCACCCCGTGCCTGCTCGTGAGGGGGGTGCGCCTGGGCAGAGCCCGCTGGCCAGGGACTGCCCACATTCCGACTCGCAGCTGCAAGCTCCCTACTGCAGGGAAGCTGAGACCGCACAGCCCTCACGGGGCAGGGGAGGGGCCGGCGGCCTGGCATGCTGACTAGCAGGCTGCTGTCCCCACCCCTACTCCAGGGAAGTGTCGGGGTTAGCCGCAGGAGAGGCAAAAGTTCTCCCCAAAAGAAGTGACTGCCTTCAGACGCGCAGGGGAGTTCAGACCTAGAAGTCTCAGGAACAAGGAAGCAGGCGGGTAGAAAGATGAGCAACAGAAACCGCCCACGACCCTGCTTGGAGAAGTAACGGAGGGTAGGATGACAATGTGTCACCAAGCAGGACTGCCAGTGATGCAGGGATTACGGAAAAGAACCCAGTGGGAACTCTGGGACTGAAAAGAATGGAATTAAAAGGTGAGTTTAGGAGTGGGCACCAGGGGCGGCAGGTGAAGCCGCTCCTTGGGATGCCCGCACCCCACGTCAGAGGGCCCAGGTTCGAGTCCCGTCTCCACTCAGGATCCACCTTCCTCCCATGTGCATCGTGGGAGGCAGCAGGGACTCCGAGAGCTGGGTTCCCAATGCCCAGTGGGAGCGCCAGGCTGCTGGCTTCAGCCTAGTCCGGTCTGGCAGCTGTGGGAAGCTGGGAAGTGAACCAGGATCAACGATCTCTCCCTCTTTCTCTATCAACTAAATAATTAAATATACATTTTTAAAGATGAGTTTACATATGTGCAAAAAAATTGAAATTATGCATTTTTTTCAAAATATACATTCTCCATGAACCTCTGAAGACTCCTTGTACAATAACTGGTATGAAAAATTCACTACAGGAGCTCAATAGATTGGATCTCAAGGAAAAAATAATCTACAAACTTAAAGACAGATTGCCAGATTTCATAATCCCACATCAGAGAGAAACAACGGGAAAAACCAACAAAGCCAGAGAAGTGTGGGGTGCCATTAAGTCCCGTTACACACAAAATGGTACCGTGGGAGGAGAGCGGCGAGACGGGAGAAAGGCGGTATGAAGGAACGACAGCTGAAGACTTTCCAAGCGCGATGGAAACCACGCTGCACACCGGAGAAGCGCGGCAGATTGTGGGTGGGACAGACAGACACACACTCCAGACACACAGCGGCAGGAACATGCAAAGCTAGCCTGACGACAAGCCGACCTGGCAGGCACAGGTGAGCCCCAGTGGGACGACAGCTGACTTCTCATCAGGACCACCTGCGCTCAGAAGGCAGGATGAGGGGCTCAGCGCCGAAAGGAACAGCCAAGCAATAAACTTTAAATTAACTTTTACAAACTTTATTTGAGGGACTGGCACTGTGGTGTAGTAGGTTAAACCTCTGCCTGTGGTGCCGGCATACCATCTAGGTGCCAGTTCAAGTCCCAGCTGCTCCACTTCTGACCCAGCTCCCTGCTAATACACCTGAGAAAGCAGAAGATGGCCCAAGTCCTTGGGCCCCTGCACCCGTGTGGGAGGCCCGGAAGAAGCTCCTGGCTCCTGGCTTCGGATCAGCCCAGCTCTCTCTGGCCATTGTGGCCATTTGGGGAGTGAAACTCAGTGGATGAAGGATCTCTCTCTGTCACTCTGCCTCTCAAATAAACAAATAAATCATTTAAACAAGATTTATTTGAACTGGTGGGAGAAGAGAACTCTCCCCTCCATTTTTAGTTTACTGCTCAAATGGCCACAGCGGCTGAAGCCAAGGCTGGGAGCTAGCTCCTCAACCCAGGTCTCCCATGTGGGTGGCAGGAAGCCAGTCCTGGAGCCGCCACCACTGCCTCCCGGGTCTGCACTAGCAGGGAGCTGAGTCAGGAGCTGCACACAGGGACTGATCCCAGGTACTCAGAGTGGGAGTGGGTGTGTTAACTAACATCATAACCACTGGGCTGAACACTGGTCTCCAACCAACAATTCTACACCCAACAAAATCACCTTTCAAAAACAAAGGCAAAACAAAGGCATTCCGAGATAAACCAAAAAGGAGAGGACCCAACAGTGGTGCGGGGCTTACGGGAAACACAAAAGGAAGTTCTTCAGGTCACAGCAAGTGACCCAGGAGAGCAAACGCTATAAATACACGCTTGTCTGTTTAAGATACTTTAAAAGGACTGAAATTAAGTAGCCGATTGTAACAATGGATGGTTCAGTTGTAACATAAATGAATACAATATGAACAGCAGAAAAAGCACAAACACAGAAAGTAGAGGCAGCAGAACAATGCAGAAGTGACATCTCTGGCACCGGGAGGTGAGCTGGTACAAACCTGCAGTAGGAAAGGTCATGTGCATCTGAGCAGCCCCGGAGCAGTCACTAAGCAAATGACTAAGCTTTAAAAAGTGAAGAGAGAATTAAAAGAATTAAAGTGTTACACCAGAAAATACTCAGTGAAAAGACAGCAAAGCAGAAAAAAAGAAACCACAACACAGGGCACATCCAGAAACACAGCGTGCAGGTGTGAGCCCAGCCGCGCCAACAGCCACAGG